TGTCAAAAAGGATTTTCTTTACTTAAAACATGGGTTTTCATCTGTTTGATGATATGATCAAAGCATTTCTTTAAATGAAAAAACCCTTATTGCGTCCATTGGGACAATGCTCTCGTTCAATTAAAGTTCAGACGCTGTCAAAAATGTTATTAAAAATAAAACAAATCATGAATTACATCAAGTAATTTTCACTTCAGTTTTCAATTTGGATCAACACCCTTTGGAGCTTTTTGTTATTATTGCCAAACATTATCAGAATAAATCCAGAAAGTACAAAATACATACTTTGAGTCAATCATATTAAAAAAAAACATCAGCAAAAAAAGGAAAAACTAAAGCAAGGAACATTAGGCCTGCTGTGTTTTGACCCCTCAACATTATAAATTATAATGAAAAAGTTGCCAACAGAAGCAATACAATAGACAATTAAAAAACATACTGAGAGGGAAACAGAGCCAATTGGTTACCTGTGTGTGTGTATAGAGAGAAAAAGACATGGTGAAACACAAATTGAGAACCACCTGCCACACACATTATTCTAAACAGTGTGTCTGTCTGTGTGTTTACAGTGGCGTATAAAAAAGGGCCCTTTTGTGGATCTTTGTGTGTACAATCATACACACTGCTGTTCTGTCGTCAAAACGATGCAGGCGGCAGATTTTATGTATCTGATACAGTTACACACATTCGCAATATTCATTTCAGTACTGCACAATTCAGCAGCTTTGCAATACTGTAGCTAAGTCTGAAAAAGGATGTGTGTCATGATCTAAAGGCTTTTTGGTTTTTCATCTTTTTGTTTTAGGCGTTCATCATTTCCTATATTTCATGGTGAGATTTCTAATCAGTCTTAGCTTTTCAAAATCTTCCATACTTGTGAGTATTCTGTGTATGTAATGTTTGCATTTCAAATCTGGCTTCAGTTAATAACCGCAACAACCAGCGTCACATTAGTCATCAGGTATGAGCTGATTTTCTTTTTTCAGAGATGCTTCCTCACCTTTATTTTCTCTTCCGTGCGTCATTCTCTTTCCAAGTTTACTCTTTGTTCCTGACGTGTTCTGCTCTTACGTTTGCATGTTTCTTCTCGCCTCTCTGCACATACACGTGTTAATAAAGGCTTTCTTACTTTCCTGATCGGCCTGCCTCGCGAGTGTGCACCGGCAAATGGGTCCTCATGCACACGCTGCTGTCACCTGTGGCTTCACACAAATCACTTCAAAGCGGTCAGTTCCACCAGAAAAAAGCTAAACAAAAGGGTTAAAAATATAGATTCTGGGCTCTCTCTTTGTAAATGAGCGGCATTTGGTGGCACGTGCGGTTTGAAGCATGCCTACAAAGTTTGAGAGGAAAACACAGAGTAGTAGTTCAATGTTCAGATTCTGATGAGTTCAGTGTTACAAGTACAAATGGTCATTTGCAATAAAGGCCATATTGAGATGAAAAATAAAAAAAGATCTAAAAAGCAGCTGATGGAAACAATCATGATGATGTTTAATAGCTTTCTAAGAAGAGTTTACATTTCGTTTCCCCTATAAAACAGAAAGAGAATTATTCCTGTTTTATAGGATAGCTTTACAACCAAATGCATGTTAGCGTAACGATTTAATCTTTTTTTTTTTTTTGCTGACACAATCTCAGTGTGTACCATTTCTTTCATCTATTTTTTTTGTCTTGAACTTAAAGGGAAGCTGCGCTCCTGGCACTGATGGAACACCTTCTTTTTCCTGACACCTTTCAGGGGGCTTTTTAATGCAGCCGACCTGTTGCTGAAATATTTAACAGTCAGCAAGTCACAGAGAGGCCTGCTGGGCATCTGCCAAAGCAGCATTCACCTATTCAATCTATATTTTATGGTCCTGAATGAAAGGATGACTGGCTTTTCTTTATATAGCAGCGTTTCCTTGGTGGGAGGGGGACTTGTTAATGCTCACATATGGATATAAAGTAAGAGGCAACAAGATGAATCAAGCCACTGCAGCTCTGAAAATTAAATCGCTTTGTGATGTGTCACCTTTTTTTAACCTTTGCCAATTAATTTTTAATTGTCTATTTGCTTTCTCAAGAACCTGGTGCTTACCATGCCCACTTCCTCATTTGGAGAATAATTACAAAATGGGAAAGTCCCTTGCTGTCTTCAAAGAAATGAGTAATTGAAGTGGCACTGATTGTACACACAGATGTCGTGTTTACACTTTCTAGTGACTGCTAATAGAATCTTCACACCACAAACAGCTGCAAATGATCTAGTGTGTGGACCAAAACACACCGTTCTTCTTCTGGGAATTCTGTCAGAGTCAAACCGAATGAGCTGGCGCCCTAAATAGACTCAAGCTGCTTGTGCTCTTTGTGTGTAAGAGTGATAAAGATTTCCGTAGCCACCACCTTCGCATGTCAAAAAGTTTGAGGACACTTAACCAACTGGGGTTGGAATACCTTCTGAGACAAGCGGAAAATGTGTTATTACAGCCTGCAAGAGGCTGCCCCCCGACCTTACATGGGGGTTGAGAGGCTGTGGCACAACTCAGGGAGCCCCCTAAAAAAGCTCAGAGAGGTAAAACAAAAAAACAACTTTTTTTTAGCGTTTCTTCTGGTTTCTCTCGTACCAGCATCCACAGCTTAGGCCGTCTCCCACACTCTGTTTCCCTGGGGTGTGGGAGACAGCTTCAGAATCCACTCCTCGTGTGGGTGAGCATGAGCTTAAATAGACCGAAAAAACCCACCAAAAGCGGCATCTTGGTGTTTACACACTGTTGTGAAGTAAAGCATCTGCCTATTCATTTTTCACTTCATTTCCACAACAGCTGGCAAGGAAAAAAAAGTACCCTAACAAGTTCGAGGAACTTATAAAATGTTCCTTATAAAATTCAAATGAAGGCTCATGGCATATACTTGTTTTTCTTTGCAGAAGGCAGCCCTTTAAGAAATTTGAACAGAAAATAGGAAGCCTCTCATGAATCTGCTTTGTAGGACGAAACTGTGAAAAAATATTTTAGACCGAAAATTGAGACCTTCCTCGCTCATTTAATATTGATAGACCAGAATCAAAGAGGAGGGCTTTATAAACACAAGCCACAAGATAGATAGCTGGAGGCTCGAACGGAGAGAGACTAAAATTGAGAAAGACTTTTCTTGAAGTCAAAAGGACTGAAATACAGCGGTACTCTGAGAGAGAGGTCCACTAATCCAGGCCTTTGTTTGATATGTACTAAGGCCTCAAAGGTGCTGTAGGCATTTGGCTTCATGTGCAGGATAACACACAACACTGGGGTTTGAATTCAATCTAGAGGAGAATTATGTTTATTAATACAGAAAAATACACCTTAAAGCGACCTTCGGGTTATTTTTCATGAATGTTTTTTTTTACAATTTGTTTACCTTCGTCCTTCAGTCTAATTTCCAATTCCAATAGACATTGCCATGAGGAGAAACGCCAACTAAAGCGCTTTAAGCATCTTTTTAATATACATCTGGCAAATCGACAAGCAATTTCACTACTTTGCAATGTGCATTACAACACCGGGAGCTAAAAGATAGAATTACAAGAATTTGTGTATTTTGTAGGTTTTATATTCATGGTCTATATGAAAGGTGTGACTGCGTGGGATTTCTTACTGGGGGTTTCAACAGCCGGTGCCTTAATGTTGGCTTTCTCTTTATGAGGCTGTCAGATGATCCATCATAAACTGGCTATCTGATGGTTTCTGAGCCATTTTACAAAACAGCTTACAGCTTTATCATCATCGTCGTTACCAGACCAACAGGAAAGAACCAAAAACGATTATAGCTTAATCTCTCCAATCTTATCATCTCTGTAAGAATATCATAAAAACACATAAATACCATCTTGCAGCACCTCAAGTTCTGCTCAGTGAAATGTTCAAAATCACTGCTTTCCTAAAAGAGAAGTTAGTTTGAAATAAGTTGTTTTTGTAATTATGATCAGGATAACAGAACAGGATATATTTCGTAGACAGGGACCATCAATCTGCTAAAAAAAATTAGGCTTTATTAAGCTCTAAAAAGGTGGCTTATGGTTATTTATTTGACAAAAAAAATGTTAATTTGAGTTTTACATTGATTTTGATCTTTTATTGATAGAATTTTTAAATCTAAAACAATCTTTCACAAACTGAGCCTTCAGCATCGGACTTGCTATGATAATGAGATAAATTGTCCCTTCCAAGTCAGTTAGAACTTCCCTGCCCCAGAGCAATTTCATACAATCACAATATTTTTCAGAAACTTTTTGTAATTAAATCTTTAAAACAAAACTATGTTTAGCCTGGACACAACTGGGTCAGCTACCTGTCGTTTTGATACATGTGATGTGAGAAAAATAAAATAAGTCAAATCACAGATTTGAATGTTTTTCATTGCCTTTCTTCTTTTAGATTTTTATAAAACTTAAAAAAAAAAAAATCTCTTGATATTTTTTTTTTCAGTCCCAGCTAAAATAATTGGAATGCCCGCAATGCAACAAATCCCATCCACTCCAAAGAGCCCCTTGAAAACCTGACCTAGATTTCACACATTCTGACAGAGGTCAAATAAGAAAACACGGAGAAGACTAAAACTACCAGTGAGGAGCTCTCGGTTCATGGACTTGTGACTTCACCTAACGAACTGCAAACTATGCCGTACTCTTCCCAAAAACACAGAATCAACAAAAATGTCAGAGGAGCAGCTCCTCCCTACCACCTCCCCGCAAAGATCGATAACGCAACAGGTTGCTGCCTTGCCACAAAGGGCAGAGGGATGACACCCTGTTCGAACTCCCAAAGCATAAATCATTCATCACCAGCCGGTCCACAGAGTCAGAGCAGTCAGGGGAGGGGGCAGAGCCCTGACCTTTTCCTGCTGTGCGGAGAAATATGATTTTTCCATCTCTTCTTGTACATACGACTTCTCTTCATATTGAAATCGCATGTGCTACTTAGCTAGATCTTATTAATCATCCTGCTAATTCTCTTTTTTGACCTTTCTCTGTGTGTCTGCAGAACATGACTTGAAGATGAGCTCTCCTCAGACAGAGTTAGAGGAGAAAGACTGTCCTCCCCCAGAGGAATTGGAGTGTAAAATCTGCTACCAGCGTTACAATGCACACGCCCGGAAGCCCAAGATCCTGGACTGCCTGCACCGGGTCTGCGCCCGCTGCCTCATGAAGATCCTGGACATCGCTGACGGAGCGGGCTGCATCCCGTGCCCCTTTTGCCGACACCACACCGAAATCACCGAGTACCAGGTGTCGGCCCTGCCCGACGACGTCAACATCATGTCGCACTTGGAAAAGTCCTGCAGCTTCGACCAGAAGCGGGAGGTGGTCTTGACCCCAAAGAGTTTCTCGTCCTCCAGCCCGACCCGCGACTCCTCCAACTGTCTGGTGATCACCATCATGGAGGTGCAGAGGGACTCGCCCAGCCGGAACGGGAGCTCCGACGTCTACGCGGAGCAGAGCCTGGACTCGGTATCGATAGGCTCCAACGGACCCGTTGACCCCGACGCCCTGTCCAAATTCTGTAACCACGTCCCGCGCATTCTGGTCTGGCTGCTGGGATTCTTATACTTTGGTTCACTGCCTCTTGGAATCTACTTGCTGGTGATCCAGAGAGTGACTCTTGGAATTGTGTGCGTGAGCCTTGTGCCATCGAGCCTGACAGTTTGCTTGGTCTACGGATTCTGCCAGTGTCTGTGTCAGGGCATGTGCGACTGCTCCTCCAGAGGCTGAGAGGACACTCACTAACGGAGGAAGTCAGATGCGAGAGAAGCGGAGCTGGCGTGCGTTTGGTTGATAGATTAAAAGCTCTGAGCTCCATATGAAACTTTTCTCCACAGCCTCGCAATCAGCCGTCATGCAAATAAAAGGGGCCGGTGGGATTAAATATCGTCGGTGTTGTGACAACACGTTCTCATTACCTATTTGTTCAGTGGGGCCGCACAGTCAGGAGCCCAAAATGTTGACTCTGAGCGCACAGTGTACGCCGGTAGAGTCAACTCCTGATGTGTGGGCAACAGCTCTACGGCTGTTTATCGTTAGTTATTCCTCCGTGGAGGAAAGCGATGTGCTGCTAGCGCCAGTAGCAAAGGGCAGAACAGCTTTTCTATTACTGCTACACTGTTAGGCACCTTCAACTCCAGTCAGCATTGCGGTTAGGCGTTTTGAAATGCACAAATACATTTTTTTTTCCCCACGTTGGCATGGTGATGCGTCCCACGACTGTTAACGTTACCAACTCCGCAGACCAGTAAGCCCCTGGGCTCCTGACCGAGCGGCGGAGATAACTTGAGAGTGGGCTGGATGTGCCGTGCTTTTTTTATGCCTGCTGCTACGCCTCAGACACCAGCCGGGCCAAAGGGGAAAAAGAGATGGAGAAAAGCTCTGTCAGTGGCAGGAGCTTACAGTGTACCAACATTTCTGTGATGTATGTCTGTGATGTTTTATGTGTTTTCTGTGTTGTGGATATGACTCTTAATATGGCACTTGAAAGCAGATTGTAAGTCAAGACTCCACAGTTTTCGATGGAGCAGTTAAGGACTAAACGGTTAACTATCAACTTTGAGGAAAAATCCCAGATGTGCACACATTAGGTCAGAGAATTGATTCATTTGAAACATGTGGATGTGTATAGAGCACTTGGTCGCCAAAAAGAAAGGGCTCATAAATGAAATACTGTCAGAAATATGACAAAGATAATTATATAACTGAGCCTATGAGTTGGCTGTACACACATTTTCAAAGTACTCCAAAAACTAAGATTAAAAGTGTGTCTGTTTGCTTTGTTCTGTCAGGATATTTCGTACATATTTGGATAATCACCAGCTGTCAGTGTGAAAATGTGAGAGTTCAATTTATGCCAGCAGTTACAAACAAAAGTACTTCTTTGACTGCCTTCTAAGTCTTGCAAGGTTTGGAATACCCGTTTAAGAGTCTAAATGTTCATGTCAAAGGTAAAACACTGACCAGATGTGTGTTAGACTAACAGATGTGCGGTATGTATACATGGCAACTATTGCAAGCACTGTGATTTACCCTCTTCTCTGGCTTACTGATGATTGGAAAATATGTTGCAGCAAACAACAACCATTTTGATTCATTTTCAGCATCGTGAACCCAAAAACAATCCAAGGGGTTCCTAAATTAAACACAGTAAACAACAAACACTGGATGCACTGCTGTGTTTCTTTGGGCACAGGTTTGATGAGGTTGCCACTTTGACTTTCTCCCTTTTCTGCCACAAACCCAGACCCATGCAGTTCAGGCTGTCCAACCGGATCAATGCCGTGCGTGTACGAAATGGAGAAGGCAAGTAGCTCGGTTTCTTTTAATGTCAACAACACACTTTGATCAAATCTGTTTTTACAGTAGCTCTGAAACTTTTTCATTTCCTCCGAGATTAAAAAAGTAGTTGTTCCCCCCCCCCCCCCCCCCCGCATTGTCCCATTTTTTAGTTTGTTTGGTCCAATTTGGATTTTGACACATTGTAAAATCTCTGCAGTTATATCCAGAGATGACATTTGCAGCAGCATTTTAAAGAAAGATTGATAACACGAAGAGTGAGTGGAACCTGTTTTATCAATCTACAGTCGTTTTGTTTGTTTTGAGTGAATTACGCACCAAATGACTTGACAAATGCCATCTTTCTTGCAGTAGCGCACGTTATCCATTTTACCCAGAGCGTCGCGTTTAGAAACAGTTCAAATTCAGGCACAGGTATTTTCCGTTTTTCATCAAAATGCAAATGTAGCATTTGAAACTATTTGAGATAAAGCCTTGCTGTATGTTTAAAAGTCCAGTTAACTCTTTGAAGGCTGGACTCTTTATTTGCCAATTGTCCTGGACATTATAAATGTCTTTTTCTCTCTTTTTAAAAAAAATTTCTTAGTTCTCATGCCAACCCTGAAGCAGAGCTGCTCTTACATATGAGGGATGAAACAGGGCCTGAACTATAAACGTCTGGTGGTATCTGGCCGCTGAAAATGTTGGAGCTGTGAGCCTTTGGAGCCTCTGCGGATCAGGCCCGTTCTGGCTCGTCCTGCAGATGCTTGATTGGATTAAGAGCAAGACCTTGATGTCTTTGTTTGTGTCCTTTGACCAAATGCAGCTACTACAGTATATGAGGATTGGTCTGATGAGCAAAAATGTTTCTCTGGACAAGTAACATCTACACGAATGCGGGGACTGAAGGATTCCCATCAGAAAATGTGGTGATCAACGGATTTAATATTGTGGCTAGCTGTGCATCTATACCTGTCCATGAACCCAGGCCCCTCGTCTTATTTCCCGCATTTCTCTACACTGACCTGACTGCAGCTCTCAGCCTAGTGCCACGCAACTGATTACACGCCCCACAATGAAATAAATGGAGAGTTATTTCTACACAACGCTCAAGTCGTTATTTCTTCGCCCACTCCCTGCCGGTTGAGCCTGATTGAATGCCAGCATGTGTTAAAACCAAAATCACTGTCATCACGGGGTTAATCCCATCTAGTGTGTTAAATCAGGCTCAAAGAGACAGCATGCAGCTGTCATACTTCAAAATCAATGAAACCTTCAAAAGAGGGAGCTTATTTGTGATTTGTGAGAGAAGTGGGACCCCCCTCCTGCAATCAACGGGATTTTTTTAACACTCGTCTGTCTAATATCGAACACATATTCTCAGAAAGTTCACAGACTCAATGCAATGGCTGTCTGCTTGTTGCTACCAGGTAAGGTATAACCCATTTTTTCCACTGTTGCTGTCACTGAATAGCCACAGATTTGTGATCCAACCTGTTTCAAAGCACCATGGCAGCCTTGCACAAAAAATACTAAAGCCGTTTAGAGCAGTTTATGCAGAGCAACCCGATGGCCACAGACCCAATAAGAAGACGAGAAATGAATAAATAAATATATGAAACGAAGAGTGCTGACAGACTCCAGCTTTAGGGATTTAATTTCCTGACCGTCTTCCTGTTAATGAGACCCTGTTAAACAAGGTCTTGTCAGTGGGGTGTTGGTTCTGCTGGTTCCACCTGACATCTACAGGACCCTGCATTTGATCTCTCTGAGCCGAGCGGTAAAGCATGCTTCATTAAAGGACTCACTTCCCCTACACATCTACAGAGAGAAAAAATAAAAAGGCCCATTTCCCAGTGTGATCCCTGCCCCTGTGCGCCATCTGCATTCACACAGCAACTGCTCCTTCACTAAACAAAATAAAAAATGAATCAGAACAGTTGTGGGTGCCATTATTCAAGGCCAAGCTGTGGTATTAAAGAACTCTTTACAATGTCTAAATTGGTTTTCTTTTCCGTTTTCAAACTTAATTAGGAAAGTCGAACCAGAGTTGAGACATAGAATGTGTAATTCATTCAATAATGACAACACAAGAGGAAGGGAAGAGTCACGGGAGTCTGTGCTATAACAAAACAAAAAACAAAAAAAAGATCTATCCATGCTTATGTTCCACGGGTCAAACCTGTGACCCGACTTCAACATTTAACAGGTGTTTCCTGGAGATGGAGTGGCATGAATTTTAATTACACATGAATAATGGAGTCACAAGCTGCTGTCTCTTTACAGTCCAGAGGTAAAACAATATCCCCACCCATGCAATCACGGGGCGGAAGCGCACAGATAACCATTACGACAGGTTGATGACAATCAAGCAATGCCAAGAACCGAGAACAGATTTGGTCATTCAAAAGAAAGCGGCTCTGGGCGTTTGTCAGTAAGTTGAAGTTTGGATGAAAAGCTTCAGCAGCCTCCATGTTTGCAATTATAGAACTTGCATAAATAAATAACCTTATCTAGAATAAGACAAAAGAAGACTGAAATTTATAGAAGAAATAAGAAAAAAATTGATAAATGTAGCCAATATTTTATATGTCCCTACTCCAAATGTTTTTTTTTTTACTTCTTTGCTGTTTTAATTATTGCTTCTGTTATGTTTCCGCTGCTTTGCCTTCATTAATTAGTTCCGTCAAAAAACAAGCCTGTTTTTTCTAACTTTATTTGTCTTTATGGCTGAAGTGCTGCTTGCTTCTCTCATCTCTGAATTGCTTTTACCATTTCCCTGTTATAGGAGCTCCGTATAAAAATGTAAATTCAGTTGTCAGATAAAACTTTAAGGACCACCACCTCACAATTCATTTATTGGATGATAAAACTCTGCATGAGAATGAAGCACTACTGTTAAACGGGAAAAAAATGTTGCTCGTGTAGTTTGTGGAACTGCAGGGTGTAAAAAGAGTTCTTCAGCAAGCGCTATCGCATAAAAACAGCACTCTCACTTCATCATCAAAGCAACACGCGGTATTAATGACGTTTTTTTTTATTTATCTGACCTGAAAACTTCTGAATTCGTTATGCCGCCGTCACGTCTTGCCAGACAATGAGGTGGATTGTGGGACTTTCACACCTGTGCTGACTTTTGACAGACAGTGATCACGATTGAACTAATGATCAGATTATTTTTCTGTCATCAGCTTTGTTGCTTATATGCTGTGACCTGTCTTTTTTTTTCATGACAATTGTCATGTAATGTAAGTGACTCTTCTGGTTTCATCTTCCATCTCAACAGACACACAGGTGTGTAAAAAAAAGGAAAATAAAGCACATCTGGTCCAATAAGATAGGAGGTGATAGATTGCTGCTATTAATGTCCTGTGAATCATTACAGTCATGCTGTACACCTGAAAACTCAACCAACCAATGCATCACAGATTTCCAGTCTAAAGGTAAAATCCAGGTTATGGTTCCTTTTCCTTATAGACTTGTGTCTTTATTTAAAATCCAAAGTACATGAGCCGACACACCAAAATGAACCTCCATGCTTTTAGAGGGAACTACACACTGAGGAAGACCAGCCTCCGGGTCTCCCACTTACACTTATCAACACTCCACACATTGCACAACCACATTTTAATTCTTTAAACCCCCTTCTGAACCCAGATCCCGATCTAGTGTCTTGGTGGTGCACATTTCTAGGTCAACGCACTGGATCTGCATTGGGAAAAATTCCAGAAGCACACCATCTTGAGCCATTTCTACCATTTGGTTTCTGTACGTACTGGTAAAAGTGTCTTTATGCCATGTCATTACTTTACCATGATCTGCTGATTCAACTTTTTTCTGAAAAAGATTCAAATAAAAAGAAGTACAAGGTAATATTTTTCAATAGCTTTTTTCTCTGTGCAGATATTAAAGGGTCAACTAGTCTGTTGTTGAGGCTTGCGAGGATTGTGCAGAACACAAATACCAGACGTAAGCTCAGCAAAAGTCATAAAGTACAGTGAGCATCCAATAAAGAATAAAGAGAACAACTTAAAAATACTATTGATATTTTGTAAGATATACAAACAATTCAGACTCAAAAGACTTTTTTTACAGTATAGAGTATATAGTATGTATATAGAGTATGCGTATAGAGGTTCTAAAGAACAAGCTCAGGGTCATGACAGCCTCCTTGAGCATACAGGAATAAATCTTCTGTGTTATATTCTTTGACAGAAACACCAGCACAAAGAAAAATATGTCATCCTGTCTGCTTTTCTTGCAGCTAAAATGAACAGCTGATTTAATACCAAGTCAATATGGGAAACAAATTTGATCGATCAGTCAACTCCTGTTTTATTCAAAACTGATATATTAAAAATATGAAAACCTTGGACTTTAAAACATTGTTTCACTCAACCATCTGTCTGTAATCGATGGATAAGCTTTGTGGGCTCAGAGTTTAGTTCAGTCTATTTGAAACAGCTTGATTATATTCAGCAGGTAGAAAATAAGGATGAAGACTAGTTCTTTTTCTAGGAGAAAAAAAGTCCTATTGCACCGTTACGCAATTAGCATTTACGGTTCTCTTTGTTCAGCGGTTTGATTGCCTGAAGTTCCTTTTATTCATACACACCTGTTTTCCTCTGTGCTGTCTTTATAGTGATATTATTACAACTGTCAGATCTGACAAGGGCGAGAGCAAGTTCAAACACACAGATCTACTACCAAGAGGCAAGATGCTGCAGTACACAGCTCCTGATGTAAAAAAAAAGAAAGATTTTTTTTTATTTAAAACAGCAAAAGCTGTGAGAAAAGAGGTTGAAAAACAACTGGTAAAAGAAAGATTTAAACCAAGATGGCACTGTAGGTCAAAGCAGCCATGGTTGCCATGGTGAGCCGCTTGGATTTTTATTCTGAGTTGAGCATTATCAATCCTTTAGTTTGTCAAAGAATAACTGGGGAGACAAACAAGGCTCTGCCTACAATGAGATATGACCAAATGTCGGCTATGCTCTGTTTAGAACCAGAACGTCTATTGCCCCCCCCTCTTTAATGGCTGTGTGGCTTTGCATACATGACTCATTCTACTGTGGATAACAACAGAGAGCAGTAGATACGATATATACAAATTACAGATAATGATATAGCAGATGAGTGAGAAGAGATATCAAAAGAAAGAAAAATACAGGCAGCGTATTCTGACTAATCTACAACAACAAATGCATAAAATACTCATTAAACCCAGCATGAGAGATGATGTCCGAGAGTACTGGAAGTTTGCGGTAGATGATGTTTACTATAAATTGAGCTAGAATTCAGATCAACAGGGACAACAGGGATCGCACTTCAGGATTTAGTTACTAAAAAGTTACTAAAAATGTGCCTTCATCAAATAAGTTCAGGAATCAGCTGAGCTTGCTTCAAAAGTTTCCAGGCATCTGGGGTTAGGAGTGAATTAACATGCCTGCCGCACAGCAGAGGGGCTTCAGGGCAGTGCAGAATGTGCAGGAAGTTTTAGATTTAGCTGTGTTCTTTATGAAAACAGAAGCTTTTAAAAATACAAACCTCCAGCAATACAGTGGGCAAAGCCAGGCCTTTTGGGAACACGGGCCTGTTTAAAATATGGGCCTTTCGAGGGAGCCGATGGCATGAAAGAAAATAAAACTTACTTTGACATCTTCTTGTAGCTTGCCGAATCGAACTGTGCCTTTCAGAATCCTGCTCACAAATCCTTGCTTTTCCTGCTGAAGAACTGTGGCCTAGGGAGTCAGACAGGGAAGACGGGAGGTTACTGAGCTAAGAGGGGAGCACGAGAGGGGAAAGAGCACACATGGTGTGGGGAGTTGAAAACAGAATATGAGAGAAAAAAAACACAAACAATACCACCACCAATTTTGTTTAAATGTAAAAAATGAACATTTCTGGATAATGGATGGAATATTATCTAAACCAATCAATAACAAAGGTGTAAATAAACGATCTAAAAGAAATACATAGGCACACTGGTACAAAGACTTGCTTTTAACAGTAGTGATCCACCTGCAGCATAAAAGCATTTCCTCACTTTTTATCAGAAATCCACCCCAAAGCATAAAATCCCTTTAAGCCACCAATCAAACCCTACCGCACACTTATATCCAACTCTGTCACTCCACTCTTCTAAAGAGACTCCATTTTTCTTTCTCTTTTTTCTGCAATTCTACGTATAGAGATAAACAGTTTTTGTCTTACTATGAAAACAGAAAACTAAAACAGTGAGCCAGCCTCCATAATGCACTCACTGTAAAGGATGTGTGCAAAAGGCTCCTGCATCTTACCGCCAGCACAAATAACGTCTGTCGTATATGGTACGATGACACCCGTCTCTTTGATGACCAGCGCACAGCACCCAAAGAGCGAAAACCACTCACTGGATTTTTTTTTTCTCCTTTCTTCCTAAATGGATCACTGTCCTCAGACAGATGTTACACAGCTGGCTCTTGCTTCATTAGCTCCGCAGTATATGCGCTCGCTGCCGCTTTATCTGACATTTGCCAAATTGTCTGTTTTATTTTTCATTTAGAACATGACTCATAGCTGCCGGTTTCTTTTCTTTTTTTTGTTCGAGAGACTGATCTCATCACACCTGCTTCAATCGGTATAAATAACTGCTTAAAGCTATCAGTGTGCATTTCTTCCATCAATAGTCTAAAATACATGAAAAATATATAAACATTTAAAATTTCCAAAAAGTAGTTTTTAAAGCTTTGGATTATGTTTACATTTCTTTTGATTTTTGTACTAAAATAATCAAGAGATCGAATATTAATTATTAGTTCAGAGGTGCTACATATCTAGCAGTAACGTTTGAATTCAAGCCAAAGCAAATAATTTGTGCACCAATGTGCGCTTGATGTGATTATTACTATATGAAGTACAACATCTTTGTAAAACGTTTGTCGCCTCAGGTGTACCATGTGGATTAGTTGGTCTCTCTCCTTGGAAATGTTCTCTGCTACAGAAATGACAGCCCCCAGGTAATGACGAGTCTTCTCCTCCTTTAAAGTGCAGTCCTCCCTCTGTTTCTTTAGCATACTGATCTTCCTCTCAGCCTTCCTGCGTGATGTATAGAGAGCAGAGCAAGGGTAGAAGCAAATTGGAATCAAACATTGGAGGTAAACATGCAGACTAAAGAGGATTGATTTCTTTTTTCTTTTTTTTTTAAAGACGGGCTTTACGGGAGGGAGAAGTGCAGATGGAAGGGCTGAAAGGAGAAAGATTTAACTGGAGGATCTCTTGAGACGCTGCCATCTGTACGAGGAGGTGAAAACATCACTGGCTAATCCAACACCTTCTGACAGCCTTCACACTTACTGAATGAGAAACTCAACTATAATCTCAGAACAAGTCCGGAGGGAGAAGAGCAAATTTCCACATCAGAGTAGAATTTAGAGCAGCTCAAGTCCCTGACTGAAATAAATCAATTATTATTAGGCTCCATTCACCAACACTATGTCCTCTTTTTTCTTTAAAAAAAAGGGTGATTACCTTCTTATTCATTAAGGTGCTTGTCCTCAGCAGTCATAAAAATGACCTTTCTGGTTACATTGGAAAAGGCTATTAACTTCCAATTGATGAAGGACCTTCATCAACTGGTAATTCTACTTTTAAATTAGACTTTCTAAATTCATATCATTATTGGAAGCTAGGATAATATAAGCACTAAAGACCACATGGAACTTAAAAAGGTGATATTCAACCATGACTGGCTCAGTGAGGGCTGATTTAGAACCGTTTGTTATATTGGGGCTAACACTGATGAAGAAATCATCACAAGGTGTTAACTAGGATTACACAGATAGGTCTGATTCAAGCACAGTTGTGTAAATGCCTGCTTGTACAAACAATTAGGTGTTTTTTTCTTTTTTGGCTTTGTTTTTGAGAAAACCCAAAAGCAAGAAAAAAAAAACATTATTTTGTCTTCTGCCATAAATCGTTTTTTTTTTTAAGTGGGAGGTGTACCAAGGCATACCAAGAACACAACATGTTTACAACCTGTTAGCTTGTCTGCAGAGGTCCAGCTCAGCCTTTGCTGTGTTTACATCTGCAGTCAGGTTGGCTCTGTCCAGAACCAGGCTCCTGTTCTCCTCCTGCAGAGCGGACACCCTCAGAAGCAATTCGTCGATTTCACTCTTACTCCTGCTTTCCTGCTTCTCCAGATGTCTGAGAGTCAAGAGCAGAGTTCACAGTGTATCGTAACCCAAGAGCAAGACACTACTAAATGTTTACTAAAGCTGCATGTAGCTTGAAAAGGCTTTAAATGAGTTTGTGAAAGTAGGATTTTTTTTTTTTGTTAAAAACCCTGCTGGCATTTTACCATATTAGTGCATTCATTACACTCCAGATGAACCTCTGTAGCTCTTCAGCTTTGGGTGTTATCTCTGTTTTTCTCATCGTTTGGCCCTGTTTTTATTTGAAAAATCAATCTCAAAGTGACGTGATATGCGCTGCTCATAAAACCTATGAAATGTTCTCGCTTTGTTGTTATTGCCTACCAACAAGGACAAAGGGGTTTAACGCAAAAGAGGCTGCAATGGTACCCTCTGAGCTCCCCTGCAATGCTGCAGTGTTCGTCCCAGGTAACGGCGTCCTTCAGGCGGGCCCGCAGAAGCTGAACCTCCTTCACATGCCTCTGCACCTCCCTTCTGCTCTCTTCCAGCTCCTCCTGCAAATGCTGCTTTTCTGCCTCCAGCAACATCAGTTGCTTGGAGACCTTTGTTACTTCACAGAGAAGGAAGAGGAGGAAATTAGAACACAACTAACAGTTTGATTTTTAAAAAAGAGAGAAAAAGAAAACAAAATCGCACTTAACAATCAAGCCAAAGGTTTCTTTGGTTTGGGGCTTTTTGGGATTTTTAGATTCAGCTTCACTTGATGTGATTTCTTATTTTTCGGCATTTTAAAGAATGTCTGTAGACTCTCTTTTAGTACCTTCAGATTGTTGTCTGCTGTGATTGGCCTTGGACTTTGCACGCTGTGCCTCAAGCTGATCAATCAGACTCTGATTCTCCTGTAAAACCAGAAGGGCCTGCTGTTGAAGCTGTTCACTGCAGAGAGAAGCACACAGAGGTTACATCTCTAAACAAGTTAAACAACTATCATACAGGATTATTATCAGCATTAATCCTTACACTAATTGCTGCGGAGATGGTTTCTCTATTTTTTTTTAAAGATTTATTTTTACCTCATCTTATCGTGACCAAACATTTTCTCTCTTTTCAGGGCCTTCGTCATCAATAACCACAACGCTCTATAATAAATGTCGAGGTCAAATCAGATTTGATACTAATCCTCTGAAAATAAAGAATTTAAAGATACCCAGAGAACACATGGAGGTAAATTGTCATTTTTCTTCACAGTGGCTTCCTGAGAAACCAAATGAGATACTATTTACCGAGCACCCAGTGCATTTGAAAACCAGATGTGTGGAGAGATATTAATTAAAATGCATTCTGATGCATATTAAAGTCTTGGTTGGGTTTTTCAAGTGCTGACACTTTCTAGCATGAGGAAGATTAGTATTTCCCAACCATCCTTGGGTTTGATTGGGCCATCTGTGTAGAATGCTGTTATTTTCCTGGCTCCAAAATCCAGTCTGTTCATTTTGCACAAGTCAACAGCAGGCTGATATCAAAACGTGAAGGCACTTCATCTCCACAGCAGCTGTCAGTACGTGGGTACAAATGTGTGAGTTCTGGTGCACTTCCTCGTCCTCTGCACATTTTTCCTCTGCGCGGCCTGCGTTTGATACCAATTCTGTGAGTGATGGATAAACAGCTGATTCCTTTTGTTGCTTTTTTGTTCTTAAGAACATTTTTTGTTGAAAATGTAAATGTATGCAGATGCATTAGCATTAGCAGAGGCCTGTGACTTCGGAGCTCACGTTTTCAGTTTTACAGGACGTCACCGTGTCTCAAAGTTCTGTCTGCAGTTAACCTGCTTATCGGAGCCAGTTATTTAGAGTCTGTGCATGATGAGAATCCAACTTAAGTATTTTCAAACTCATGCGAGGACATGTGATCTGCTCAAGAGACTGACCTGAAGTCAGAGGTAAACCAAAAGCACCAACCAGTTTTCAGGACGTCATGACTATGAGCAGTGTGCACACGCCAACACTAACACTCAGACTGGATATTACTTCTTACCAGTCTTTCTGGCTGATGACACCCATCCGGGAAATTTCTTCACGGAGCGTCTCATTTTCTTTAATCACATCCTCTAAACGAGCACGCGCTTTCTTGGCGTCCTCCTGGCGCAGAAAAACATATCCAAAACAGAGGTTTTACATTGGAGAGAGCAAAAAATAAATAAATAGAGACGTCATCATTGACTGTAACCATGAGTGGGTCCAGCAGGAGTGCGTTCCTTAGCCCAGATTCAATCCATAATGTGCACTGAATGAAACACCATGATGCCAGAGGGGAGGGGAGGGGGGGTTTCTGGCTCATATGAGCATTGAGATGTCCCGTTTGGGAAATTTTGTTACTGATGACCAGTAACAAAATTGTTACTTCTCAAATTGTTTTTATACTTCTCATTTACTTGTCAGCAATTGTTTTGGTGAGTCATCTGTATCTTCCTTAGGAAGTCTCTGTATCCTTGGCTGATTGGTTCATTAGTTTTTTGCAAACCTGAATTTTTGGAATACCTAACCACCTCCTTGTGGTTTCCTAACTCATAAAAGGGGAATTTGGAACAAAAAACGTTTTACAAATGCTTTACCTCTGTGGTTTGCATCAGTTCGTCTTTCTCATTCATCCTGTCTTCATAAGCCAGCAACAGAGGGCATAAATACTTCATGTCCAACTACAGAAGAGGATAAACAAAGATTATGAAGGTTAGCCAAAACATCCAGATCTTTAGTCTTTTGGGTTTTGTCCAAACAGTCATGTTACCTTCTTATACAATCAGCTTCAATGAGCACATAAAAACAATTGTAAAATCGTCTTGGCAGTATTTACATGATCAGTCCAGAAGGTTTCCAGTTATTTTGCAACTAATGAGTGAGCAGCACAAGTGATTTTGTCTAGTAAAGGCATTTTCTTAAAGGAGGTGGAAAACAGCAGTCATTTTAATCTATTGCTTTAACCTTATAGTAACTTATTCTTAGATTTACCTAATTCGAGCAAAGATTTATCCACTAATCAATACTTGTTCCACCAGCAGCCAAGAATTAGTCTACTGTCAGGGTGTTTTAATGGAATATCTTGTTCCACTATAGATACTGACCAGCCATGGAGGCGGAGAACCTGTCGTTGGTAGCCCATTGATTTTGGAGCTCTGCATGACAGAGAGAGAAAATTAACCCAGCCTTTACAGCCATCTCCAAAGCAATCTTATCCTTCTCTCTGAAATAAGTTTTTTAAAAACACACAAAAAAAACAGCTGTGCTGAAACACAGTTCATGTATGGCGTTTTTGTTTGTTTTTTGCAACCTCAGTTCCCTGGGAACAAGACTAATTCATCCTACCTAGCAGGGAAAATGAGAAACCAAACATCCTGTTGCACATGTATATATCATATACACTCTTTATTAGTGTGTTCTGAGGGTCTTTTCTATATCTTTTCCCCTTATTTTTCTCCGGCTCAGAAGTGCCTTAGCTGTTGCTAATGAGGGCAGCCAGAGACACGCTGCTGCAGAGGAAGCAAACTACTACTGATGAGAACAAGAGATCTCCCGATGTGAATACACAGCATGTGGCGGCCATGATTAAAACTGCAGGTTGGCTTTCTTGTGCTGGGGGGGAAAAAAAAAGGTACCCGAGCATGGACAGACAGTGATGGGAAGCTCATTTACGCCAGTGTATCACATGGAAGGGGGTTGAAAAAGGAAAGCCATGTCTCGATCAGCAGGGTTCTGGATAAAAGCGGAATACATGTCTTAAAGCTCACAATGACAGAAGAAGGAGGATAAAGTGATGAGCGTCCACAATTCGGTTAAATTGCCCATTAGTGTATGATTAGCGGCAAGCTAATCATCCAGCTGGTTGGGTATATTTACAATCAGGACTACATTCAGGATGCAGAGTCTTCTCAAATTGTGAGAAGACTCTGCACTTATGAAGACTTCTGGCTGAAGTTTGCGACTTTGACCAATTTCTGTACTTCTTTTTTTTTTTTTTTTTTTTCCCCCCTTTTTGACAATGGTCTGAAGCGAGCTTGGTAGCGGCTCAGCTCAACATTCAGACGGTGAACGGTCAATTTCAGGGCATCATTTTCATCCACCAGCTCCTGAGCTTGTCGTCTCAAACTCTGCAGCTCCGCCAAGCCGCCTGCGGTCACAACAGGCAAAGACGGTTCTAACGATTTTCAAGACACACCAAACGGTGCTGGTAACACAAAGGCTATTTCATACACAGTTAAAAAAAAAAACATAAGGATCAAAGTTCTTTTCTCAAGAGTTAACTCCTCCAATTTGTCTTCCATCGGTGGGGTGTAAGAAAGCATTTGTCCTTAACTTGCAGAAAATAACACAGGAACTCCTGTCTTTTGCCAAACCTCCTTTTCAAAATCACACTTCTAAGAACTCGCTCTTCTTCTCTTTGTGCTGAAATGTGTGCCTCATCATCTCATAGGACAATCCCCCCCCCTCTCTTTGTTCACAGAGCCAATATGGCAGCTACTTTGACCTAATTTGGGCCTCATTTGACTTCATCCTTGTTACCCTGCAACTCATAATTTCCCCCTTATTTGCCTCACTTTGTCCATACTGACCCATTTCCTTGGCATTACGTTCAGGGGGCCTCGGGTCTGATGAGGCTTGGCTGTTGCTGATCTCCTGCTCCAGGCGCTGCAGTCTCTCCTCCAGTATCTTGTGTTTGTCTATCGCCCTCGTTTTCCTCTCCCTCCGCACCTCACTGTACATCCCGCTCGGGTCCGGAGACGAGCGGGTGAGGGTTTTTTGCTTCGGGGGTTTTTTGGCGCAGCTGGGGTTGATATTGGCAGGAATGGGTTTCATGGCTGAAGAAATGAAAAAATGTGCTGAATGAACAAGATGAATTAAAGAAGAGGGATATGAGATGTATGAATTTGAAAAGTTGTGGGGAAGATATTTAGCTAAAAAACTTTAGCTAAAATCATTTTTAAATATGTTCAAGCCGTGCAAACACAATTCAATATGCTCTTGTTATTCAAGTAAACTGAATTAAACATGCTTAAGTAATAGTGTTTAGTGTCAATTGATAGCATAGAGCAGAATGATGCTTGGTATTGTGACATTACACACAATCATGCAGCAACCAACCAGGGAAGAGTGTCACTGGGGAAGAAAGTACATTTTTCTTTAGGTAATGTCTGAACCTGGCTTATCTGCACAAATGTGCGTTTACAGTCTTTAACCATAGCAACTGAAAACATAGTCGTGAGGGCTAAGGCTCAAGGTGCCTACGAGATGGATTTTTCAGGGCCAATAATGGCAAATGGGATATTTTACGTTAAATAAACAGAGGCAATAAAGAATAAACACATTCATTTCTATAGATATTACAAAAATGATGTTGGTGTGTTGGAATCGGATACTAATCTGGTTACTATAACACCTACATGGCACATCCTCTGTCAAACTTCTAATGTTTTTTCTGATAGATGCTCTCTTCCCTGTGGCTTCAGGAGATTGGTCACTTGACTCCTCTGTGAAATCTGTGGGTTGTAATAAAATTAAATCTTTTCAGAATCAAATAACATACAGCCACTGCCATAGAGCCAGTCTGTATGATAGTGGGCTTCAAGTAAAAACAATTCTAAGTGACACAAATTTAAAAAGAATTCAAGACTGTCCTATCTATGCATGACAGCTTTTCACATTATAGCAAATACAATAGGCCTTTTTATTAAGTGACAATGACAAAAGATTACTTCATGGCTATTAATAGAAGATGTAAGTTGATGCGAGTTCTGTAATTGACAGGAAAAAATGATATTTTTTCACATATTTTCACATTTCTTCCAAAGTTTTTCCCCCAACAATATACTAAGACCACCAAAACTATATGTAAATTCCTTTATCTCAATGTTGTAAAGGTTGCATACAGAGCCATCTTACAACAGATTTGCCCATTTTTCATCAGAGAAGTCAGTACCTGGAGATGACACCCCTCTGCCAGACATCTGAGTTGGTACAGGTTCATGGACCTGAAGACAGACAGAAAAAACAGCCACAAATAAAACGCTGCTGTCTCACGCGCTTCCATGTAACACTATCTTCTGGCTTTCTGACTGAATAAGTTACAGGCTCAGGTCCAAAATCTAGGAAAGAAGCAGAGGAATCCCAAAATAGATTGAAAGAGCGAAGTTACAATTCAACTTTTCAATTGCACTTTGACAGCCAGATTTGTCAGAGTATTGCTTTTCTTTTAGCTGGAAAGCAGCACACGTGCATACTGACCCTGCACTAGAGCCATCTTGTTGAGGAATCTAGTTTTGCTTTCAATATACCTTTTTCTGGATGTGATGTGATTCTGTTCAGCTGTAACGTATGCAAGACCAGTCACACATCATCGGTCCAGAAGCTGGCCTGACTGGCCACACCCTCTAGGCTTTCATGGAAAGTGCCTCAGCTGCCATGTTCCTTCTTTTAAAATTGTCCAGCACCACAACTCATAGAGGGTCCACACTGCTCATCCTGTGTCAGAGGGGGATTATATCGCTCCTCCATTCTCCCTTTGGACCGGACCAAAGGCCAGGCCTTGTTCGAGCCCTGTTAAGTCTTGATGTTATCGTTGGTTGTATGTGTCTACCCCCTTCCTGAACAATGTTTTCTGTTCTCTGTGAGTTGAAGGTACCCAGCCCTTAAACTTAAACACACACCCATAAAAGAGGACAGAGCCATATATTTTGAGTGACACAGAAATAATATTAAATGAGGAAATGGATATGCAGGGCGATTAGACACAATTACAGATTAAAAAAAAGAAAGCAGAAATCCTTAGAGCTGTACCGTGTCACATCAAAAATGTTTTTTTTTCAATCATGTATTCATGTGGGGGCACTTCACTGGGAGCGTGCTTTGGAAGACTATACAGCAATGTTGTTTTATGTGTCACCGTTTTTCACTGATTTTAACAAGCTAATGCCATGAATAAAGCTGGGGGCAGTGTGTTTGTGATAGCTCAAAGAAACACGTGACATGGGGAAATTGAGCCCCCTGGGACTGCTTTAAGTTAGCAACTAAAATCTGCAATGTACATAACAATGACATTAGAGCAGTATCGCAGCATTGTGTGGGAGCACACTCCTGGGATATAAAGAGCAGGGAATTCAGATGTAGTGTCACAAGAATTACAATTTTGCTGTCGACCATGCAACAGTAAGCCGAGTAAGCCGACAAGCCCCTCGGCTGTTGAAAAAGAACCTACTGTTAATCTTCTGTCGAATGTAATATCATGAATCATCATAACTGATGCAGTTTTAAAGACTATTTAAAGGGGAATAACATGGCAAAAATGTCACCATCTGAATGAAAAAAATCAGAGATAATCTCAGCAAACTTGTGTACAGTTACAAAGATAAAAAAAAAAATGTAATCTACAACATCTGGATCGGCAGAGAAGATCTGCTTAGATATAGAGGAGGTCAAAACAATATCAGACCCCAATAAAGATGATGAATAAATACTGCCACACTTGGAAACAAAGCCATATAAATCAACTACCAAGCTCCACTCGACCATGCTCATCGACAATGACGAGAATTAAAAAAGCCTTTTCTCCGTACAATTGTGCCTCCCAATGGATCAAACAGATATCACAATCCTTACAGCTAGAAAGCAATCAAGCATTAACAAAAAAGTGTGAAACAAGTTTAAAATGTATATATACATCCTTAGATCGATACAATCTAACAAACCTCCATAAAGCATTCAAGGTTGTCAAACTTTTTCAAACAGATGTGTAACATAAAAATCTGTTGTATACCATGTACTTTTGATACCTTTGCACAATTTGTATAAGAGCCTGCACACATGATACACATTGGTACATCCTTACCTCGCACTCTAGTGGCAGGTCCTTGAAGTTGGAATTTTTCAGTCCATCCAAAGTCTGGTAAACATGTTCCTCTTCATCCTCTTCGTTCTCCTCTTCTTCCTCCCTGTCCTCAAGCTCACCTTCCGAGTGTTCGGGGGATGAGAGGTGTTGCTGGCTTTCCAAATCCTCTGACCACCTATCTCTGAGGAAAGTGAGGATGTTTCAGCGGTGGAAAGCTAGCTTTATCTTAGCCGAGGGACGTCAACACAAACAGTTTCTATAGTTGAGTTTTGACATACTGCATAAAATGTGTGAGGTTCACTACAACGTCATGGACTTCCTGAGATAAATATTGGCAGTTTAGAAATGATTAAAGATCATGTTCCGTATTTCATTATTATCTTGACACTTACTTTTGGATATGAAACCATTTAGACTTTGACCGAGGTTTCAGAAGTAACATTTTATGACTTTTTAAACGCAGTCCTCCACCACCGTGACATCCTGGTAGTGACAAATTGTGATGATACTGCTGTATGCGCCCTGGATGGGGTTACCTGGCGAAAAGTGCAGCGCTGACGTTTGGCTCTGATATGAAGGATTCCGACTGGTCAAGCTCAGAGAAAGACCTTGGCCGCACGGGAGGGATGGCCCATGTCTGTCCAGTAAGGGAGGAGGACAAAATGGCTGCTGCCAAGGCCGACCTGAGCAAGAAAGAACACAGTTTGCGGAACAGAAAAGCAACAGAGCTGCATCGTTAAAAATTGAGGGCAATTTTCTTTTCTTAAGAAAAAAATGGTCATGTTCGTGCCATAAAGTGTCAGGTACTAGATTTACCTCAAAGCAGTGAATCTGAATTAACTTTAGGTAGTGGTAAGCCATAAATGAATAATTATTTGCGTCGAGAAGATAATTTCAGTTACAATTTTGAAAAATCAAATCAGTCAGCAATGGTCCATGGGTGTCGAACCCACACAGACTGGTAAGTGTAAAAGGAGATAAACAGGTTGGACAGAATATGAGGTGAGGGGAGGGTCAAAGGTCATGAAGGGAGGGTGTTAGGTACCTGGGTCTCTCGGGTGAAGGGTTTGGGCTTCGCGGGGGAGGGGTACGAGGCACAGCTGGCTTGGGAGCAATGGAAGCAGCAGGGATCAAACCATGAGCTATGTGCTTCTACACAACACACAGAGGGATGTTTTACAACACACAGCGAACGCAACACACGTCGGGACGGTTGGAGAGAAGTAACAAACTGAATGACACTTGAACAGGAGGAAAAACATATAAAACCCAAATGGGTATTTAAGGGAATTTAAGATGGATAAGCGAATTACAACATGACAGCTGAGTTCAAGCAACGTCATTACTCGTTTTTGTTTTAGAATCAAGGTTACAGATAGCACACTTGTTCACACAATATCAGACTTCAGAATAGGTTACATGAATGTGACACGACATACTAGTTTAAATCTCTAAAAGTTTTGCGAAAGTTTTGACTAGAAGAAAGGTGGTGCTAGCAAAGAGGCAGAAGTGCCGTGAGAGTAAACCAGAAAAGAGAAAGATAAATTGCCCCGAAAAACTTACGAATTCCTTCTCTCGCTCTCTCCTGAAGCTGAATTTAAGCATATTGAAAACAGTTCCACGATTAGGTTTTGGTTTGCGCTAGTAGCTTGGCTGAATCGAACAGCTTAAGTCGAATGAATAGGTTTAAAATGTCAAAAATGTCGTCACACATTGACGACATTGCCACTGCCATTTGTTTGAAAGCATCTTTTGTCCATGACACAAAAAGTTGAAATGGGCACTCTGACTAAAATAAACAGTCCAGGCACTTGTAAATCCGTCGTATCTAGACGCTTAGCCATAGTCACCTCAAAATAAAAATAAAGCTGATTGGTTACGTTCTTTAAATCTAGCCAATCAGAGAGTGTTTTCTTTCACCTAGCAACGACAACACTACCTATAAACAACTTGTTCAATAGGGGGCGATAATGTTCCACTTAATGAAACTTTCCATGAGCGTCGGTAAGATTGCCGTAACAATCAGGACTGCAATATCCAGTTATTCTTTTCCTTAGTATTATTGATTTTTCGAGCTGAAACTTTACATACATTAACTAAACCTTTTCAATAGGCAGAATCCATTTACATTACATGACTAGTCTGATTGCAATCATACAAAAAATATCCCTTTACATTAGTGCAACAATTTTTGATTATGCAAGTATGTTTTCAGAATGACAGTGGAATGAGAATGACATGTCATGTAAAAACAAAGTCTGAACCGGGAGAAGGAGCAAACCAATTCATGAAATTTAATCACATGCTTCTTTTCAGTTTCTGTGATGATGGATTAAGATGTCACATGGTCCCTGACAAGACTTATAACGCCTACAGATAATAGTGTTGACTTTAAGTGTGTGCTCTTGCTGGACAACCTTCATTCCAGACATTTCCGACCTTCTTGGTATTCTGCACCACTAAGACATGTTACACAAAGCTTTCACTCACCAAAAACAATCCATCGTTTCCTCTTTTTTTAATTCACATATTTATTTGACCTTACAATTTATGACAAAAGACCTAACAGTGACGGCTCCGGAGCACAAAGTGCAGGCAAAAGGAGCAAGGCAACCCCGATGCTATAGAGATGGTACCATTTCTCACATGAGCTGAGGCTTCTAGAATCAGCACTGTGAGAAAAAAAAAGCTGTTCAATTATTGAGCACAATAGGAAGTCATGACAGCATAGTATTCTAATATAGTTAATATTTTCCTTCATAATCTAGCATAAATGGCACTTAAAACATGTAAGGTAAGTAGACAATCTTAGTGAAACAGTTTAAAAACATTTACAAATTTTAGAAATATGATGTAGACTAAACATAGCAGTATATTAGTTCACCAAAGATTTATGCTAAAGTAATACATTCTTCCAAAAGATCAAGGTATCCATCATACAACAACTCACACAACATGATCGTTCAAAAATGGATATAGCCTACAACTTACAGGTATAGATATAACTATATATTTTTCTTTTTATGTGTTTTTTCAATAATTATTACATAAATAATTTGATTATCAAATGTGTACAAGAATCTACTTTGTAGATAAAGAGATAGTCCAACACTGCAGTGTCAGTTATAATATGGGATGAGATCCGGGTCACTGTTGGCTATCCAGGTGTGATGTAAGAATTCTAGTTTGTGCATATTCTTCCCTTCTAGCGACAAAAGAAGCTTAGAGTACATCAAAAGTAAGATTAACACAGATGAACAACTGGTGCTCTTCTCACAAATGGGCCAATAAATCAATAAGGATTAGGGATGCGTCATCCCCACATATTAGAGACATGGAGGCATGTTGGTCCATGGCATGACTGGTTCAATAGATAAGTGAAATACCAATATTTCCATATGCAATACGTCCCATGTATGGCACTCACTCAGCTGAGACGCTGCTCTTCCAATGCTGGCTTACAAATACAAAACAACAATAACACATGACCAAAGTACATATGAGTTTTTAGCAGCTTATATAGGACATTGCATTCTACAAGTCTCCCAAAACAATACAAAAAGTTTCACAGCACATATTGTATTCCCTAAATGACTGTTTAGCATTTTGCAAAAAAAAAAAAAAAAAAAAGCTTATTGAATGTAAATATCCTCTTTAAAAGTTTACACACCTTTAATCCCCAGTGACGAAAATTGTGTGGACAGTATCCTTAACATACAGTGTGCTATGTACATGTACTGAGCAGGTACACAGATTACAAGCTGTAGTGCCCTGCTACTTCAAAACACAACGAAGACTGTGTGCACCGGAATATAACTAGTTCTTTGCACTCCAATCGAAACCAGCACAGGGCGTGTTCAACTTTGTTTTCCCCTTTCAATTCATCTGGAGCCTTTTTTTTTCCCTCTAGAAATAAATACTGAGATGATAGTGTGAGCCAGAACGCTGTCTCGGTGCTGTGTGTGAGAGTATAAATAGACAGAGAGTGGAATGAACTGGTGTGTTTTCCCACCCTGCAGTTGAACTGCGCTGTGCACATATGGCATTACAAAGATTGCGCTCCATAATGTTTGACGTTAGTCCTTTCGCCTCAAAATTAGGAATGTGCAGGGGGAAAAAAGTGTTGTAAGTAACAATACAGGCACCCGTGTACAGTATTTGGCACAGACACCTTTCGTAGCATCTGGCAATTATGTCGCTGTTATGCTGCTGACTACAAGCTACATACATTACTGCTAAGTATTCCAGTGGAAACACCAAGGGGCACTGATAGCATGTCCAGCACGGTGTCAGAAAAGTATTGGGCGTGGTCATACTAGGCTTTGTATGAACACTGCACACCGTTTGCGGTTAGCTCAGTAGAGAGCGCCGTCGTTGTTGTACGCGCTGGTGCTGGGGAAGGTGGGACAGGGTTTGTTCCATGAAAAAGAGCCAGACTGGTCTGCCGTGGGAAGGCTGAGGGTGCTCGCACTCCTCGTCTTGTTCTTCAGACCCCAGCTGAGGAATGACGACTTCTTGGTCACTTTGCGGGACTTGGAATGCTTTTCGTCATCGTCGTAGGCCAGGCAAATCATGGAGTAGGTCTTAGGCAGGTTCCCGCAGAAGGTGGCACTCTTGGTTGGCTAGGGAGAGAAAAACACTATTAAGACAAGAGCCGTTTGTGTTCCACTATATAGCCTAAAGAATGTTTGATAGTCAATCAGCCATAAAAAAAGCAACAATGCTGACTGAAACGCTTCATAGTACGTTTTAGTTTATCATTTCTGATTCCCACAAGCTTGGTGTCAGACAACTGTAGGACATACCATGGCAGGGTTGCTATCCATTATGCTGATCACCCGGATGTCGATCCCCTCTTCGTCCACATCCTTCAGAAGTCGCATCACTTCGCTTACACCCATCCATTTGCAGTCAGTGTCACCCACAGCCACAATGCAGTCCCCCTCTTTCAGACCGTCAACCTTCAAAAAAAGCATGAGAATGAACGCTGCTTAGAGAGACCACCATCAGCTATAAGGGCAGTTACAATCAGCGGTTCAGTGATGAGATCTGTCATGTCCTCTCTTGCTGGGAAGTCTGAAGTGGTCTCTATAAACACAATGTCTGATACTTCCGTCTGTTCCATGGTCACCTGAGCAGGTTAACAAGTGGTGCGTGATCAGTGAGCTCTAAAAAAAAAAAAAAAAATCCTGTTGACTACAGAATTAAAAGTTCTAAAGAGTTTGGCCCAGTTAGGCTTATGCAGTACCATTAATCTGTTTCTCTGCATAGCCTGCAGGGTCTAATAAGAGTCTGCTCTTTGTCAGCTCCTCTTAATGAGCTGTCAGGTTGAAAAGGATTGGAGAGTGTAAATACTCCCCAATTCTTAATTAAATTAGTAGGCCAAGTGTAGGAGGTGTAGAGTGCACTTAACAACATTCTTTAAAAGCAAACTCCTGTTCAGTTAAAACTTTAATGTAACTTAGACTTTGTGTAAGCTGGTGTTCATTAAATTGAAAATCTCTCCTCTCCACTGAAATTTGTGAGAAACTAATTTTAAAAAAAATTCGGAAAACAAAAAAATCATGTGAGAAGCAAAGTGCCCTTTCTATAATCCCATTCAACAGTGTGGCTCATCTATCCTCTGTGGGGTAATCAGAGGTAAAGAATAGCATTTCACTCACTGCAGCTGGACACATGGGATCCAATGAAACCACCTGGACCGGCTGTTCTCCTTTCAGGGTAAATCCCAGGTCTCTGTCCTCTGGGCAAAGCCTTACTGTCCGCGGGGCTGTCCACCTCTGCTTCGCTGAGAAGAACGACAGAGGGCCCTGGGAACACACAGGGTGGGGACCAGGGGGGTTAATGTGGCTGCAGCTTTTTGGGACAACAGAAGTTCAGACCCTGCTGAATTACACATTCGTGGCAGATGAATGTCATGTGATAAAATAGCTCGTAATCTTCTCCCATCACCCTTGACAGAGATTAGCCATATGAGCTGTAATGCACATGTTCTGTATGCATGACATGAAATGTGGTCAAACCTTTATTTGCTGACATGAACTAAACAATCGAGTTAACAGAACAGCTCATCTTTGTTGCACGTGAACCGTACAAAGAAAGATGGAAGGTGTGGGTTACAGCTCACATTGTTCCTCTGAGTTGCTTAGGAGCCACTGGCCAAAAGCTTTCAGCCGTCTTCAGTGGGGGACTGTCTGCCACCGAAACTTTATATCAAACAATTATTCCAACCGTTGACCTTAATCTAACCAAGACAATACTCCAATTATAGGGCTTTATGGGAGTTTTGAATGCTACCGTTATTCATATTAATGCGTCTTCGAAAACACAAAGGAATATCCTAATTGTTCTCCTTAATGTCATTCATTTGTACCTTTTTTTCTACTGGCTTCCTGTTCTGCGTTAAACTATGCTGGAAAAAGTGCTGCGACGAGGAACACGATCCATAAAATAAAGATCTGAAGAATCCTACAGCCCAAGGCAAGTGTTGTAAAAGTAAACAGAGTGTCTCACTGGATACCTTGATATACATATTTGATGATTGTTTACTCCAAGCATGTCCTGAACTTGTAATCACAAAATTCTGAAAAACGTGGATGTTTTCCTACTCAGATTTGGTTTTAATAGAGTGAGTCATGACACCACAACTCCCTCTATTAAATCTGACTTATGAGAATCTATAAAACCGATTCTCAATAAAACCAATGGCTTATTGACAATTGCACTAGAAATAATGTTTCATGACTGTATTTCATAACAACAAGATGTTTGTGTGTTGTTGTAAAGAGTGAATTGTTTTAGCAAATAAATACATGACCAGTCAAAGAAGGAAACAAGCTATTTCAGAAGGTCCGGTCCCCTTTGGATTTTCTTTCTCCTGGGAAAATATCTTCCCTGCTAAATCCTGATAAACAATCCCATACAACACCCAGGTGATTCCCGCCTGTCCTGGTTTAACTCTCACCAAAGTGATTGTGTCGGGAGACCATGCTGGATGCAAGTATTCAATCTCACATTCCACATCGGCTCTCGAGGGATTACAGTGTTGTTACTCTGAATGCTAATGAAGAGCTGGGTGGGATTTTATGACAGGAGCCAGAGAGGTGCTTGTTCTCCAAGATTCTTAGCACCCAGCTGCCTGGGAACATCACCTCTGACCCTGATGAATTATTTGGTTAAAGGCGGGTTGTCTAGAAACCAATGTTTCTTCTCCTTTTGTGAAAGTAAACTGTGATCATACTCATAACTGACGGCGTCTCCCTAAAGGAAAACAAAGTAGCTGCAAGGATGAAGAATGTCTGTGTCCCACATTTCACCAACCAGCAGGATAAAAATGATCCCAGATAAAAAAATAAAAAAAAGGAAAAAGATCTCAAAAGGGAAACAAACTCCAACCTTAGAACATGACAGGGCTGAAAATAAATTACAGTGCATGTACCAAATTAAACAGATATGAGGTATGGGCACTTCTGGTGCCCTAAATATATACCACATTAAACTTGCCAGCAACCCTCTGTCCTCTGTTAGTGTTAGTGTTTTGCTTTGGATGAACGTCCAGGAGGCTTTGCAAACCAAAGAGCTTCCTATTAGCATGAGGTCAAAAGTGCCAAAGCTTCCGGGAGGTTCACCTCAGTTGGTTGTATTCAGAAGAGACAATACACACTGGGTGTTAAAAGTCCAAGCACAAATCCAGAGCTGTTTCGTGTCTCATAATGAATACAACAACCATTATGAATGCAAAATAAAAACAGCAATGTCAGTGGAAAGATATTAGTAGCCCACATACCAGCCTCTGGAAAAAGTCGATGACTTTCACCTTTGTGGTGTTGGGGACTTCCATCTCTGCTTTGTACTCTGTTTTAGCTTTGGAGGAAATAGAGGGGGGGGGGGGGGGGAAAAAAAAAAAACCATCATTCCCAGAGTTTACTGATAAAGGCAGATGTCAGCTGCATGCTCAGTGAGAGGGGCAAGCTCGGAGTTAGCGGTGCAAACATGACGTCACCTTTACTTGGAAAGACAATCATAGCTGCTGATATTGCAACAGGCTGGGGTCAAACCCTGTGGCTTTATAAAAAACAGACATGCAAACCAGTTTCCTGAGAGACAAAACTTCTAAATAAACACGCTAGGAAATGATTTTTCCAGTGGTTTCCATTAGTCTGTTTTTATCTGATAAAAATCACTCACGCATGATGTCTGGAGCTTCAAGGTAGTCCGTGAACTCCTCCTCGTTCTCAACCTCGCTGTACTTGTTGAGCGAGCGCTGGTGGCTGGCTTTTAAAATGTCCTGCAGGACCTCGAGCTTCTTTAAATGGTGGCACAGACCATAAATCCTCAGAGCCTCCTCGTGACCAAGGATGGCCCTGCGAATGTGAGCTTTACCTTGGCGAGAGAAGGAAAAATTCACAATGTTAAAAGAAGAGAAGGTAAGGAAGGAAGAGTACAAGGGGGAAAGACAGTAGACACTGATTAACATTAGGAGTCCAGTCTACCAATGAAGCACCGTTACCACTTCCTGCCGTTGCACTTCTCTCCCTGTAATGAAATCTTACCAATGCGCTGACGTTCATCATCCTTCTTCAGGATGTCCAGAGGAGAGCATCCCTCAGGGAGCTGGTCATACACCTGGGATAATGTCTTCTCCTGCTGGTCCTCATCATCACTGGGACCCACTGCACAAACAGATTAAAGAGAATCCCACTGAGAGAAGGCTTTTATGTATTTGCACACACAGATATTTCTGATTTTTGTCAACAAAACAAAACAATCTAAAAAGTGGACAACCCCTGTAAGAGTTACATCAGGCATGGTTCGTTTAGAGCTCTCAAAATCTTCCATAATTAAGGCTTGATTATGAAATATTTGAGAGCTGTCCCCCCTTATCTAATGAATCCGCTCATCAAAATGCCCCCTTTCTAAAAACTGTGAAAGCTTTTTTCTTCATCCTCAGCTTTGCCGGGTCTAAATAAGCCGAAATGTCTGGGCTTTATTCCTGTACGCTGCCTCTCAGTGAGAATAAAAGCATTTATTTGCCAGGGTTTGAGGTGAATTCTTTTTTTTAAACCAGAGTCCTCTCCGCAGATCTGTGGTTAATTACTTCATTTTGGTTGTTCACACAGGAATCTGTTAATGAGCCTCCAAACTCTAAGCTGCTTCACTCTCTTGTTCCTCTCTTCAGTCCTTTCCCATTCAATGAACGGTGGCTGTCCACTATACGACTTCATACATTTTGATATACTCCTTCACACTCCTTCATTTTTCCAAAAGAGTCTTTTCCAATGGACGTCTGCTTATCTGAAAACAGCTCTCTTTCTGCCTTTAGTTCCCATGCAGTCTTTTCACTCTCTGTCCACCGTAGTTCCACGAAACAAAGCCTGTGAGGGTGTGTGTGTCTATGCATGTGTGCATCTTTAAATAGCTGTTATGCAATAGCACTGAGGTTGGCAGTGATTCAGTCTGGCCAATTGACACAACCAATCCAGTGGCCTAGCAGACCTTTGAGGGAGGGACTGTGTGTTGAGGGGCGTTTTTAAAATAAAGTTGTGCTAATGCCTTAAAATGTACAAGTAGATTGTACGACACAGTCATATGTCAAATGTTTCATGGAGTTTTATGCTGCTTTGTCATTTCCTTCTTTTTTCTTACATTCATGGTCCAGCAGCGCTGAGGCCACAAAGTAATGTGCCATGGAGCGATAGTGGTTGGTTTTGACTTGTGACATCGTGGACCAGAATAACGGCACATTGTCTTTGATTGGCGTCTGGATCATGGACTGATGGACCTGGTCATAAATTTCTGAGACCTGGTGGAAAAAGACGGCAGGATTACTGTCCAGCAAGTGTTCATACAAAGAAGCGATGCTTTTTTACTGGAGTAGTCATTTCACTGCCTTTTACCTTTGCAGCCTCCTGGGCCATTTTCATTAGAGAGTAGAACTGGTTTCGGATACCAGGCAGCGCAGTCTTCTCAAACAGGCACTCTTGTGCTTGAGCAAGCATCAGCCGAATCAGCATGCTGAGCATAGCTGGACCCATGTCGTAGCTTGGGGTGTGGGTAAAAGTCTCTTTAAGGTAGTTCAGGATACCTGAAAACAAATGACACAATATTTGCTTTAAAGTAGTTTCATTGAATTAATCAAATGAGCAGTTGCCACTAAATTTCTAAGCTTTCTTAGGTCAAGAAAAACTAAACTCTTCAATCTTCTCAAGATTCCTGGACCTTTTTTGCAGACAGGGTGCAGTAAGCTTGACCAACCGCCGTTCTGTTCCTGCAATCTTTAGACTGTAAAGAGTAACAAAAGTACAAATCTGCACTAAAACGTCTGAATTATGTTTGCCCAAAAGCATAACTAATAGTAAGGGCAACAGTGAATGATCATGGGCCAAACTGAAGGAGTTCATTTAAAGGAGGCATAAAGTCTGCTGGTCCACAAACTGACACATGTGGCAGTAACAACACTTTTTCAATAGCAGCCCCCCCCTTCTTACTGAAGTCTCCAAAAGTTAGTCATGGCTTTTTATAGTCATTTTGCTACTCAGCGGTAAAGGAAAAAGCTTGTTAATATATCTTACATCAATCTCTGTGTGATTCTTTAAAACTCATCCAAGACATTAATCTGTTCAAATTAGACTTCATGCTGACTGGAAGCTATTAGCCCATCTGCTTTTTAACCCAGTGCCTGCTTCTCTCACTCCTTTTTTTTTTTCCTTTTTTTAAGACTACAAAGCTGGCGACAGAAAGTTGTGGACAGCTTAATAACAGAGCCCCATGCCAGTCTAAAGCAAAACCTTTGCAGTTGTAGACTGCCTCCATCTAGGCTTATTGTGTGCTCAATATAAACTTACTCTTTCTATCAGCGCCTAATGTCTTCTAGAGCTGCGGAATTGTTTTACTTTTTACAAGTTTAAAATATAGGCATCAAAGTAAGTTAACTAAAGCCATCCACAGAGCCATAATTATAGTGCAATACCGACCATATTACAAAGTCATAATTCTATCAAGTCTTGTTTGAGCTTCCTGAAAACCTTTGAGGGTTAGGAAACCACCTCATAATATTGCTCCTTTTTGGATTTCAGCCACATAACAGGGAGCATTCATTCTCCATCATGGAACAAATGTCAGAGGGTGGAGATAGGGAAACAGAAAATATGGCTTTGTTTGCGCTGGAGTCATTGTGCCATTACAATGATGCAATAAATATAGTTTCCATCCACATTATATCAAGGCTATTTCATTCATGTGACCATTTTATCTGCGTTTCATCTAGCAAGAACTTCCCTGTGATTACTGTCATCATTCTTCTTTTAATAAACTCACACATCACCCAGGCTTAAAGACAAAAGAGTCCATATGAAGTAGATCTCTGCACACCTGCTGCTTTCTGAAAGGAAGAGATGGCCTCTTCCAGGCCAACTATCGTCTGTCGGTCACTGCGAGTGCCAATCTGGGTGAACAGGGCAGCCATGTTGAAGAGGACGCTGGCCTTCTCCAGAGACAGATTCTGCTGGCATACTGGAACTCCTGTGAAGGAATCATACCTACAGGAAAGAGAACAGAAATCATCTATTTCTGTAAAGTATTTATAGTCTCAAGTGCCTCAAAATCGTTATTCTGTTTAGTAAGAAAAAAAAAAAAGATTAAACATTAAAAACTGTGTTTTACAATGCATGAGTGCAGAGCTGCACACATACATCTGCTACCAGGGCTGAACCTCCCATTTTTTTGTGGCTTATTGCCAAATTTCTAATAAATTAAACGCAGCCCATTCGATTGAGCAGATTTAGCATCCATGACTGATCTGGCGTCAACAACATACCAGACACTTGCTTGCTTTGGTAAAGTTTTAGTGGGAAATATTTGAAGTATTTCCAAGATAAGATATTTCTCAATATTTGAAGTTCATAAGTCATTCGTGCAGGTTTGCTGCTCAGACAGATAACAGCTTGTCTATATTTTTCAAATTAGAATTCCTTCTAATCCACTTGCAAGTCAAAAAAATGCAACAGACAAAAAAATTAAGGAAAACTGTAAACATTCCATTATTTTTTTTATTGTATGAGGTCATGAGTGTTGGTAGATATAAGAGCAGATCTGTGGATGAAGGAAATCAAAATTTCCTGTTTATCCTTCCAGACCATAAAGAAGTTTCTGGATACTAAGGAGAACAGCTTTCTCTAATGTTCTCTGCTAATTAATTTAATTACTAAACAGACTGACTTATTGCCTTTTAGGGAGGAGGTTAAAAAGTTATGGAAAGATTTCTGTTGCTTGTTAAAGTTTTTAGAGCTTGTTCTATAGTCCAGTAAGTGAGTGGAATGAATGTAGAATAACCTTACCACGTAAAAAAGATGCCAGTCTGGCGAGTTGGTGAGAAGAATCGGCTCTCAATCAGAGGGAGATGGCTGAAGTATTTAGCCAGGAGTTCAACCCCAGAATCGTTTCTGCTCGGAGTTCTGCATGCCTGTGATGCGATAGAAATACATTCAACAAGGTCTGCAACCAATAGCTCATTTTAGCTGACCAAACAATCATAACAAGTCAGTATCAGGATGGAGGCAGAAAAGGAAAAGGGTCTCAAAAAGTTCTTTCTATACTAGTAGGACAAAGGACTTTGTGTTTGTGGATGTTTGTGCCGAGTAAAAACAGTCAAACACACTACCTGTCGCAGGTCCATCAAATCCGCAATCTCATCTTCAAAACTGGTTCCATCTTCACTGTAGTGCTCCAAGATAAAGTCCTGTCAAAGAAAATAGGAAAACCTGCACTTATAAAATATTATTTTATATATTTATTCATTAAAGAATAAATAAATCAGGAGTTGGTGATTGTTTTGGGGCTGAAACGTTTGACATCTTCATGGGAAGGCTAATCTAAAACACAAAACTGAATTGGAACAAGTAAAATATGGGGACGTGGCTTTGCCTGGGACGTGCCAGATGCAGAAACACCTGGCCATTAAAACTGGTGTGTGACAAGTAGAACAGAGACCATAAAGTCCGGAAAAAGCCTCACGATGCCCTCCAGCAAAGCAAAACAAGAAGGAACGCCCCATAAACGTGCCAAAGTGGTATTTACAAGATTCTGGGACATAACTTAGTGACTACATAACTAGTCTTAATAACCAATGACCCAGTTTTTGTTCTTTTTTTTAACAATTGCTTCCAAATGACAGACACACAGTAAAACCTGCCAAAGCACTAAACGTGCTCGTAAAAAAGAAAAACCTCCAGGAGCACACACTGCAACAACAAGAAAATAAGAAATGAAACGGGGTGAAAAAAACAGTAGCTTGGCAACTGAAACTAGGTAAGTAGTGACGGGTGAGCAGCAGTAGACGCTGTGACCCAAATGAAAAGGAGAAAAAAAAAACACAAGGAAAAGGCCCCTTTCGAAGTGGGTCACACTTGCAGGATTTTATTCCCTGTTGCTTTAACCTGGGATTGGCATTGCACATTTATGCTGCTTCAACTTATGTTTTAAACTAAAACTGAATGTTTCAGCTTTGTTTATATGACCATGTTTGTCCTAAAAAACAAGAGGAGGATTGTTCAAATTGTGGCAGTTTTTTCCCAAACCTTGAACGGGGCAGAGAAGTCCACTTCCTTTGTCTCCTTTAGACCCAGAGCAATCAAGGGAATGTTGGTTGTTTCCCTGAAAGCAAAACAGAAAGTCAATCGGTCAGTTGTTTTCACAAAAATGGCAAGAGACCTCAGAAAGAATCTTAGCTGGAAAACGTTAAATAAACATTACAGTATGATAAGAAAGCTGTAGTGCAATGAACAGCTACAGCTTAGATGATAGAGGAAAGTTGACATTTTTGCTTAATCTTTTGTAGTTTCACCGGAGGGCTGTCAGGATTAGGCAGATGGTGCAGCCAACACACTCTGCGGGGTTGAGAATTTAAAGGTAAATGCAGGCCTCCTGTCTAAATTCTCCATTAATTACTCATTTCAGAGTTTCCACTTTGCTTAGGCCAGCAGCAAATCTCCTCTAAACATTATCAAAGCTGGCTCTTGCCTTCGATTATCTTAACTTCCACCCACCTTGCAATAAGTAGAAGGTGTCACAAAAGCATGTGTTTTGATCTCAACAGGAGCCAAAATGGTTTGGAATTTCTGGTTGTTACTGACAGATGGAAAGCAGGTTCAGCTTGTTAGCAGGGTTGAGGAAATATACCCTGACGGATACCTGCTGCTGCTCAGAGAGGCTGTAAAAAAAACCCTCCCAAGTTTTATTTTCATTTATTTAAAAATGGGGGAGGATTAGTTTGGCAACTTCAAACCAGGAGACCAGGGGTTATTCACTTTTGGAAAAAAAACGGCCGACATTACCAGGCTCGCACAGTATTTTCACTGCACTGAACAACTCCTCGCTCTCATTCATCACCTGATGATAAGCCTGCATTCCTCTCACATACCAACTCTGTGGATCGCAGAAAACTGTGCATCAGTAATGCTGGCAAGGCAAGATAGGGGCTGCACTGTGCTCCATTTGTGCCTGAGGATGAGATCATTCTGGCTTGGCAGTGACAGGGCCACAGGGGAGGAAGCTATGTGTTCTGCTGGGAATCTAAAATGTTAAAAGCTTCCCAGGAAGAAAAGTCTCCGTTTTAAAAGAAAATGATGGAACAGAGAATGACTGGTATAGAATTCAAGGAAAGTACAACTTTGATCCATAGTAAGCTATGCTACCCTTTGTTGTGAAGCATGCTGATCGGTTTCCTTTAACAGAATGTGTTTCTTAGCTCCCGACACCCATGAGACTTGAGTGGTGGATTGTTTTATCTGGCAACAGGTTAAGAATGTAGGTCTAGATAAAAGTGTGAGAAAAGGAGTTGTTTTCAGAGCACTTTTGTGGAAAAGAATACAAATTGTGTTTATAATTTCCTCCCATGCAGCAGTTATTGAAGTAGCATCTAGTGCTCGTACTTAATATACCTATATGTGCCTTACTGATCCATCACCATTTCAGCTTATCTGAAACCTTAAGAATATCTGTCATGGAGTTCTGTTTAAGGTCAATAATGTCTCAGAATGGAACTGAACAAACCGAATTACAGATCACAGACAGAGCAACATTGCTTCTGGATATAACAGAGGTATGTTTCACTCATAAAAAATACACAAGGTTCCACGAGGTTATTTGGCATTTATATTAAATGTTGTTGTGTCTAATAAAACTGGTGTCATAGGGGTCATAAGCAAAGCAAAATGCAGGTGGAGGTTCTCAGTCATTCAGCTAATGGTTATCCCAAGGACCAGAAAACTAGCAACTGGGCTTCTTGGATTTTATAGACTTTTAAACCTTCATGCAGGAGTTTTTTTAGCACAGTGAGAAAAAGGAGAAGAGGAATTCAAGCTCTTATGATTCAAGAAAAGCAACATGAACATAAACCACCAGCTGTACAGAATGTCTTATTTCTGCTGAATCTGAGTTAGAAACAGGTACATAAAGATCCTATTCAAAGAACAGTTAACCTGTGGGAAAAGCCTGGAAAGGTGAGGAGAGCTTTTGTTTGTTTGTGTCTGTACTTAAGCTCAAGGTTGTATTTCAGGCTGAAATGAGAAGGCTAACTCCATTGTTGCTGCCCAGCATCATCCAGTGAGACACTCGCTCAGAAATGACATGGAAGAACTTTCTCGACGTATCCGATAATCTCCAAAACATGTGACCTACATCATGTCTCTATGGGTTTTTGTACAGCCAACGGCATTAATATTATGATGAGAAAGCTTTGCACGTGTTTAACTGTCTTTTAAACAGCAAAACAGGTGGACGGACGATGTCGACAATAAAATGACAACAAAGCGTTTGTCCTGACACTGTAGTCAGCATGACAGTGTCTGATAGAGAACACTGGGGACTCCAGATCTGATCCCTAAGCTACTGCTGAGTTATGTGGACATTACTAGTTACTGTATTTTTTCGGGTTTCTCCTTGTTTGGAATGGATACCAAATCAAAGTACAAACTATCAGAGAGAACATAATGTCTCCCAAAGAGAAAAACCTTTGCGTACTGACACAGAGTCTGTGCAGACATGCTCCCAGACTCCCTTAAACTAGGTTAAACCCTCCTGGTTCTTGCTGCACTGAGACCCTGTAAGCCAAACAAACTAATCCGGGCTTAATGTAGTGGAAACACAAGTCGGCCTTAACAGTTTTCTTGGGTCAATTGCAGATTCATTTCAGAAATCGTCCCTGCTCCCCCAAAAAAACAGTAGACCTGTAACTCATTCAAAAAAAAAAAAAAGGTCTTAAAAACTAAAGACAGCTTGACTTTAACAGTTTACAGAACAACGTACATCAAATGACCCCAAGCGGTTGGTATGGTAACCACTATACATCACCCGGCTATCATTTGTTTGGATTTCTCAAAATACGTGTATATACATTGTGCATACATGGTTATATGAACATGTATAATTTTCAAGTTTATGGAGTGGCACACACATCTGGTGTAGATATGCGCAATTTAATTCCTTTCTTATGTGTAGCAGTTCAGATTGGCTAAGCAAAAACCTCTTTTTTTAAACATCTACAAGTTATGTGTAGGTGTATGGACTTTTAAAGTATACTTTCTCAAGTATTTATACAGGAAGAGCTGCCTGAACCAGACATGCTTCAAGTCACAGAAATTTGCATTAAAATACAATACCTCTAAAAATATTCAACAAAACACTCCTTTACACCTATAAGCCAATTGTCACTGGAATTCATATGATGAAGAGGAAATATCAGTTTTTACATAAACATTTCTCATCAAGGTTTTAAACTTCTGTACTTCCTCATCTGTCATCAAGGTTTTTGTGTCTCTTCTTGGCATCTAATTGATGCTTGCTAAGGTGATGATGGATCCTCTCAACATACCCGTTTCTTTTGCTCTCACACACCCTAAAAAGGTTGGTTTGTTTACAAACAACGAAATCTCTAAAACTCAAACCCATACAGGACCCTCCCCTCCATTCAACTGACTGGGAGATCTGTATCTGAGTTTGCATACAGGTTAAGCAGTTAGTTGCATTCCTGCTTTGTTCATTGTGTCCCGAGCCTGTCGGTCCTGCTCAACAGCAACGCTGTGCTTCACTTTGTCTTCACATCGCCCTGCTCCTCCCCTTTTTCGCTGCTCCTCTGTCATTAGGCATTGTTTGTGTCAAAGAGTGTTTGAGGATTTCACTTGAAGGGTGTCAGGACCATCTATGTATCTCTGGCTGTGAACCAACATTGTGCTGATGTTCTTTGGTAGTGATTTGCATAGAAAATTAGGCCAGAGAAGATAAATCATAACTACCAGTTTAGAAAAAAACAAATAGAGGAATCGGAAAGTTTCCAAATAAACTATATGAGGCTTCGGTTGCATGACGCGCTTGTTATATGATAAGGGGACTAGTGCCAAAATCTTTTGCATTTCCAGGAGGAAACCCTCACGGCTATCTCCAACCAAACATGGTTCATCGCTAAGTGCTGACACAACAAAACGAGCTGCAGACTGCTGTGTGCTGTACAGTTTCACAAATGCCTTGAAAAGGTGGCCTGTATACAGTTGCAGGCCTCTTCACTTGGCATCTCCTTCAGTACTTACTGTGCGCTCTGGTAGACCTCCACTGAGCTGTTGAGTCCTTCCAGCTGTCCCATCAGCAGCTGCAGGTTGGAGTTTACGTAGCTCAACTCCAAAAGCACCATCTCTTTCACTTTGTTGTTGGATGTAGCCCTGAGTATTGTAGAAGGATCAGAGAAGATGCAATACAAAAGTTAAATTACAGAAAGTTTTTAATGTAAAAAATGGAAAGGGAAAGAAGGCAAAGAAAGACTTATGCTTTGCAGTTATCCACACAGATGTTGGCAAACTCTTTTGAAGATCATTATTAAAACAAGGGTGTCTCTTCTGGTAATCTGGACCACAGGCCTGCGTCACTGTGCCCTGCTGTGCACACATGATTTACAGTCCAACACACACAAAAACCCACTCCCTGCTCCTCTGAGTGCAGAGCAGATGTATGGCACCGTCTGTGTGCAGCTGCTTGGACTGGGCTTTAGGGCAGATCCAGAGGTCACAAAGACACATTTGCATAGTGTTTAACTTAATTTTTTTCCGGGCATTCATTTTATTTTGTGCTTGCGTGTGGAGCATCGTCACTGAAAAAAACAGATTAGGATTGACTGCATAGCAGAGATAAGGCTTTCCTAATGCCTCTGAGGGGTGTGCTTGTGTTAGCGTCCACCTATCAAGTAGTTGAATCCTTTGTAATGAAGGATTTATGTTGTACTGTCAGTGTGTGAAAACAAAACCAGCGATTCATGTGCATCTGGACAAGATAACACTCACATCTGTAAGGGCCTCTTTGTTCTTATCAGCATTTTACAGTGACTCCTTACAAATTGTCAGTCAGCAGCTATAAATGGTGCACAGACACACATCCCAACCTATACCTGTCAGTCCAGAGGCATCTCAGAGCCTTTGACAGCTGATTTATACCTTCCCTGTAATTACCAATTATGTTATTCTTCACATCTGAGAATCAAAGAATAAGGGAAAAAATAATTCGCTCAAATTCAGGTGAAGAACCTTAAACCTGACTTCCTGGTGTAAGCGTAGGTGGTTTGGCTTTCTACTGTAAGAACAAAACACCATTCAGCTCTACAGTCTCCACAAAAGACACTAACATAGCATGGATCCAGGGCCCTGCTTAACATTAATCCCTTCCCTTCCTTTTGGCTGTTGATGCCTTTCTGTGGAGTAATGGTTTGGGGAAAAAAATTAGGGTTGAGGATGTAGGGGTGCTGTGGTTTGGAGAGAACAGATGCAAACTAGCTCAGAGGCTGTTATTAAAATTTCATTTCAATATCTAATATCATCCTGCCGTGCGTGGGAACCTGACTAAGCCAGAAAGTGTGGCTTGACTAAAGTTTCCTCATCCGCTTCAATGGGAAAGCATACTTATACTTTGGGCAGATTGACAAGTATTATACTTTGAACCAGGGCCTTTGATCTACAGAAAGATAGCAGCAACTAGGTGTTGTTTTCCTGGGGTGGGTACTAAAATCACAGCAGTGCTTTTCAATTACACTGATGTCTGCTGATTTACAGTACTTTCTCTTCCAAGTATGCCATTTTAGTTTATACCATCCTCACTCTTCAGAGAAAAGAAGAGAATAGAGGAGAGGAGAAAATAAGAGAAAAAGGGAAGACTGGTCTGACTAGACAGACTCCACCTGTTCCTGATCAAGAGAGGAATGCTGAGCAAAAAATAAATAAAAAACTAAAAAAGGTGAAGGGAGTTAATGGTGGCAAATTTTGCATGGGAATTTTTTGTGTGATTAATAAACTGCATTCTGATAGGGGTCCTTCTGATGCATCATTTTAAAACAAAAAAAGTCAATAAATAGGTAAGAGCAACTGCCACATATTCAGGCTGGTGGGGCGGTTATGATGGCCTTCTTCTAAACAGACTACATATGACAAAAATAGGAAGCAAAACACCAGAAAAGACTATGTGATTTAAGGTCAATAAACCCGGTAGCCTACCTGGAACTCTGAAATGCATCCAAGATATTATTTGGGCTGCAGGTGAGTTGGCAAAACTAGGGACAAACACACATGGGCCAATTCCAGGGAAGGCTATGTGAGGTACTACAGGAATGTGAGGGCCTCGAAGGCTAAAAGCAAGCTAAGACAGGCATTCACAATACTCGCACGCATACTACGGGAAAACATCTAGCAGTGGATCAGTTCAGTTAATATACCAATTATTCTTCAAACATAGCTAGTACTGAATAGGGAAACAGTTTTTGTTGTCAACGACACACCACCTACAGGGTTTTAATCTCAGTGAACACACAAAGTGCAGACAGCAAGGAAATAGAGACTTTCTGAAGCTTGTCATCATTCTAATGAAAAAAACCTGTCCACAGACACTCGGGAAAATTAACCAACTGCTAATATTCAGCAGATGCATATATCTCCCTGAGTGCATTTTCTATAACAACACAGATACAAGGAATCAAAATAACACCAGCATACTGCACAGCACAAGTACAAACAACAGTATCCTCCCCAATAAAATGCATGAAAATGCAAAGGTAGGGAGAGTGGCAGGAAGCCTCAAAACCCTGTTTGTCCTGGAGACTCTAGCATGACTGGACACATTTTTGATTGTAAGCCAAAAACAGTTCTCAATCTTAACAACACTGGTAATAAGATAAACTAATAACAGCACCGTGTCCCACAATTCAACACAGTACCCTTAAACGAATGTTGATCCGTCTCGGATCCAATTAGGTTTTTGGGCTCTGCCTTCATTGGGGTAAAAACAAACAAACAAAAAACTACTGGATCTGGGTTCTGAAACGCAACTTGTCACTTCACATTTTTCTAAATGTAATACATTTTTATTTTCTATGGATACAAATTATGCAGGAAAGGGAACAGACAAAGAAATGTGAATGAAAGAAAAAAAAAAAACAGTTTCTGTGGCTACAGAAGAGACAATGCATTTTGTTTTTTTTATTGGAAATACTAGTTGAGCAAGAACAGTTCCCTGAGGTTTCCTTTGAACCATGTATCACAGTGACTCTTTTGTTTCCATGCACACATGGAATGCTCCTCATTGAGACTGCTATCATGCGGTATCACCTGATCCATGTGATGACAGAATGACCACAGTGGTGAAGTCACACTTGTCAAAAACAAAGCAGCTCCGCTTTTCCTGGGGTGACCCGCAGAAATGTACGGTAACTGGTCAACAATACTTTCCGCATTTTTCCTTTTAAAAGACACCTTAGCAGATTGTCTTTTTTTTATTCAACTACTGTATATCCCACACTTGATTGATCCTTTTCTCCTCCTAACATACACACTCTGGAATGCTTTTTTTCTGCTCACAGTGTGCGCATATGTTGTGTTGTACACATGTTTCAGTTTGGACTTACTTCAGCAAATTCTCAGCTCCGGCCCTCAACCTCATCTGCTTGATGATCTGCTGGTTCAAACTGGCTCGCTTATTCTGCAGTTTGCTTCGGCCAGTCTGTGCAAACGGGTTGCAACCCTAGGACAAAGAGATCCAGAAATGAGCGGGTCAGCAGAAGATAACATATACTCAAAAATGCATGATTGCACATTACTTACTCAACACTGAGCTATCAAGCTGGAAACACTCAAAGTTCTTCAAACCCTTAATGCAAGGTCAAATTCATATATCATTGTTTTTGTACAACATGGAGCACTTGCGCAACAGGCTGCTTGCCAGTGTCTGTGTTGAAGGTCAAAGCATTCACAAAAAAATTGTGCGTTTAGGCATAGATCTACTGTGCCCTGTTTAGGCCCTTAGACAGGGCCGTCTCACATTACATCAGGTTTTGCCATCAGAAATATTCAGCTAAAACCCATAAATCTCAGATCAAAGCATTCACTTAATAAAAGATCAGTGGACCAATGCATAATAATAATGGTTTAGGAATATCATCTACATGTTACAGGGATGCCAGCGTTTACCATCCTGGCTTTTAGATGTAGCCTTTTAAACCTGTATGACCTAATTTAGCAATAAAAAGTCAATATATGTTGGGTGTGGAGAGAACTGCACCCTGCTTTGGTGTACTGGACAGAGGCACATGCTCTTAGTTCATGTTTACACATAATGGCCTGCGTTTGGCCGCACTGGCTGTCCTTGTCCCCGCAACCAACACAAGCATACCTGCCTCACTGAGTCAACAGGCTGTCATTCAAAGCAGAACTGATAAACTGGCTCTTTGCCGTCATCCTGACTGACTCAGAGAGCAACAGAGGTGTGGCGTTCTGATTAAGATGAGCATGCATACAAAAGCTGTGTGATGCAGAGAAACCAGTCAGCGCGGGGAACAGTAAAACCAGTTGGTTAAGTCTATCGTCAGCATGCAAAACTTACATGTTGTAATGTTATCTGTGACTACATTTGAAGACAGCATAGTATCAAAGCAGATTCGTGTATCATACCAGGTACCATACCTGTCATGACTATTTCAAACACCTCTTTAGTTAGCTTGCAGCAAATCATCCCTCCGGTTTCTCCTCTACTTTTAATCCATCAGCTATTTACAGAGAAACTGGGGGGTGGGGATTACATAAAAACATATAGTAAGATTGTTGTAACTGATTATGGGGGAGTGCTTGGCCATGTCCCACCTGTAAAACATTTAACATTTACATTTGAATAACGTTATCAATTTCCGTAAAACCACCAGAAAGATAAAGCTCAAATTTCAAAACTGGTTGAACGCATCAGATCAGGTCCTTTGTTAACATAAAATGACATTTGGAGTGTGATGCACTCTTATACTCTCCTAGTGCTGTCAGTTATTTCAAACTGTGCAAACAATTGAGTGACCCGAGAGTTTAATGATTAACCACGAATGGACGCGTTTAGTACGGCAGAGCGAAGGCGTCAGTGACGAAAGCTATTTTGAGAATGAGGGCAGGGAGAAGATATTAGCAAGAGGACTGGAGGGGGTGTGTGTGCTGAAATTCATGAGCTATCATTCAATAGTTACATCTAAAGCAGGGTGTACACGGCCGTAAAAGAATGAGGGAGTGGCCCGTGATTGATTGTTACCATTGCAGTAAGTTTCCATGGTGAGACGGTGGTAAACAACAATAAACAAACAGTAATAATTTAACGACTGTATCGATTGAGGAGATGTATTAATACATGATCAGGTGTTAAACTTTTTTTCTAGACCTAGATGGCTTTAAATTAGTTGCAATCACATCAGATGCTGTGGTATCATCCTGATGAGAAGAACTTACAGCTAACCTTTGATGCCATTCACGGCCATGTCGTTACTAACCCACAAATCTGAACAGAAAACAAAGACCTTCAACCCACTGGCATGTGGGTTGAACAGAACAGCCTTTCTCTTCAACTGTACCAAACACATCATTAAAGCAAAAAACAAGGCTGGCCCGAACAGCATTGTGCCCATCAAATGGCAAATCAGTTTGCTGTTATGTAATTGAGGCTTCATAAAGAACATAGAGGAAATGCTCCATTGGACTGCTGGTTGAAACAAGTGGTCATTAAAGACTGGCAATTAGTCAAAAGTAGGTTTCAAAAACTACCCAGTTTTGGGCTCAAACAAACTATACAATCGCACATCTTAGGATGTCTCTTTAAATTAATTACTTAATGCATGATACCATGTGACAAACTGGGATATCTTTATGAAAGAAATAAAAAAATAAAAAAGGCAGTATCTGAGCAGAGCTGAACATCGCATTGGACATTTTCCTATGTGAACACAGATTGGGGGAATATAAGAGTGTCTCATAGTTGGGGGAACTTGTCTGGTTTGGGAACCATGGCACATGTTGTCAATTTGTGTCTGTGGTCTGGGTGAAGGACAGCCCCGAGCCAGATGCTACGTCAATGCACTCGCTGGCCGAGGAGGACGAGGAAAACATGCATATTCGGCTTTTTGTGCTGCCATCTTTCCATCCTGCAACCATGCAGTCGGACCTTGGCCAGCTGGATTTGAAACTGTGGATGTCTGGGAAGGAAGCCCCGAACCACGACAGCTCCCTGGAGCATGAGTGGGATCCAGTGAGGCTTTGTAAATTATTAAACTCATTTTAGCCGGAGAGAAAGAGGAGAACAAAAAGAAAATGAAGCAAAGATCATCTTGGCTCGCACTGGTTAACGTTTGACCAAAAAGTTTCCTAATTGCAAATCAGAAAACGAGAACAGAGAAGTGTGATGTCTCTTTAATAGGAAAGGGCCATGAAACCAAACGTCTCCAATGTTCAAGACTGAGAAGACAACTGATATTATAGAAATATATATAATTTGAATCAAAATAGGACATTATGGCGACATTATGTTATTAAGGTATGAGGCTTGACAGCCTTTCATCCTGTTGTGCCAGACTCCGATTCCCACTGACCTTTTTATAGACACAGGAAGTGCAGTACAGAGCCTAAATCCAGACAGCGTTCAGAGGGGGATTCAACGGGATAGAAAGAAACAATAGCCATGCTCAGATGCCCACCTCAACCAGCTTGTCTATGAAAACACTCCGAACGGGGATACCAGAGGCCATGTGAAGCACTGAGACCACAGCATGACAGACAGGCAGCTCAGTAAAAACACATTAGATAATCACTCCACCATTGCTGACTGCCTCTAGAATAACATCCAACAAGAAACAAAGACATAACCCTTGAAAACATTAGACACAGGTACTTCACTGCCTGCATTACAGTTCAATCCAAGTATCGATTTAAGTAACCGATCATTTACATATCTCTCACACCCACGACGCCCAGAAAACGTGTATCTGTGAAGTCAGGCAGGTTAAAGTTCAAAGATGAGCAAGTGATGGACTTAAAATATGCTCTGAATAACAATAAAGATACGACTAAAAATGGTTTAGCTTCAATCATCTGTGGGTTGATTACACCATCGTTTACCAGCGATGAAAACAGAGGATTTAACCATCTATCACCGCGACACGTTGGACAACAAACAGGGGACTGTTAATCACTATCCTGTCAGTCTCACCAGATAACGCTATTATTAGCATACCTACCGCTGCTTGTTAATGACACACGGAGAGCGGAAACAGCTTCGGTAAATGACCCTTTACATCGAGTTTTTTTCAACTTAAATATCGCATTGTGCCTCTTTTGTCATGGGTAGGTTTAATTGTCCAGCCAAATGGAATTAAGTAAAAGACAAAAAACATCGTAGGCAGGAATAGAATGGCTCCGTGGAATTTTTTTGATACGCGAATTTACCAGTGACTGTCCCGCAAACATCTTTTGTAAAAGTTTTAGAGATAACAGAAACGCCTCACAAAGCTTAAGAAATCTTCTTTTTTTTTAACCGTTCAATGATGCCAGGACCAACGCACTCTCAATTAGCAACCGTCTTCAGATACGAGGGGCGGACACAAACTCACCTTTTTAAAATAGTTACCCTCTCCTCCGCCGTCTTTAATGCCGTTAGGAAACAGGGTGTCCGTCATTTTGAAGGGGAAACGGTCTAAGCGTCTCCGAGAAGAAAGCTCCGAATAATAAATAAAAATGTAACTAGTTTAAACCGCTGCTATTCAACAGGTGTGTGTATCCTCCTGCGATGTGGCCGTCGCTGCTCTGGCTCCACTCCACCCGGACGAGGACTTTTCCAGCAAAAACTCAGGCTCCGCCCACACGGCTGAGAGAAGATAAGAAACGTAGGAGTGCGTGGGCGTCGACAGCCTAAATTTTTTTTTTTTAAATCACCGGAAGGCACCTGTTACACCCAGGTGATGTAAACCGCGTCGTTGACACGGTAAGACGTGACAAAGTACAAGAGAAACTTAACAACAACAAAAAACACATACCAGTTAAAAGTTAACAACATATATGCTTGCCAGGTTTTTATAGCTAAAGCGCCATTTCATTTCTAGAAAGGAAATTATTTTCATGCTAATAGCATCTTTAGGCTAATTTGAAAAAACACATTTTGATAAAGGCATTTTTTTTTCTGTTTTATAATGTATGAATTATTGCAGAAAAAACACAAGTTGGATAGAAAGGAAAGTGACTGGATTCTTAATAAGACACCGAGTAATATAGAGGATTTTTAGCTAAAACTAGCCAAAAGCATGATTAGTTTAATGCCTTTCACCTTTCAGAGCTAAAGAAAATGTAACGTTCGATGTTCTTATCGGTTTTAAAAACCTATCAGTGTCGTATCCAAACTAATAAAACAAAAATAATTTCACCAGAGTTTATAAGGCTCATCAAAGGAAGGCCTTTTTATGTATTTCGTGCTTAGATTAAGTATGTAATCACGATAATTGTGTTAACTGCATCATAAACCACAAACTGACAAGAGAAGGACATAAAGTTAAATAGATACAGATAACAGAAAACTAATGGAAGAGTTCAAATTATTTATTTTTTATTTATTTTTTTGGTTAACTGGTCGCAAGGTTAGCTTTGTTTGGGCTGATGGGGCTTTAATTGACTGCTGATTTCTGGGACTTCCATAGGTTTTTTTGTTAATTATTTTTGGTGGAACAACAGTGGCCATGTGCTTTTGTTTAGCTGCCTTTACCATTTGGTAAGCATGTTTGATTCCTGTTTGGGGAGGAATCCTGCCAGGGCAGGATTATTAATCACTCAACAGAGATGTAACCAGGGAATTTGTCTACTGGTTTGACTGTAAACTAAGCTGACTGTCTTTGTCTATGAAATTTATACCTATCAAATACAAAGGATTTAGGAAAAACCTTTAAAGCCTGTAACATGATGTACTGATTGCTGATTTTGTAGGGACTCTGTAGAGATTACTTGAATATGATTCATAAAGTCTGCAGGAATGGAACAATGCCCCTCAAGATTTTTTTTTTTTTTTGCTGTGATTTCAGCTATGTTGTTAGTGTTGGAATAATGTCAAGTTTGGTTTAGAACTGGTGACTGCCCTGTAGCATGTGATTCAGATCATTTTTAACAAACCATAAAGGAAGCACTTGCACCCCCCCTCCACCCCACCCCACCCTCACGATACAGTTAAGCCACCAGATCTCTCATGGTATATCAAAGGTGAGTTCAGATTATAACTGACATATCCCTGTTGTCCGGAATCTTGCTTTACTCCAAAATGTAACAACCCTAGGTTAAGGCTAGGTTAATAAATTAAATTTAGACATTTGCATTTTTTATGCTTTCACCCCAAGCTATATCATCTTTGTGTGCGTTACCTATATTATATTTGGTTTATTTCATATATTTGATCAGTTGCTACCACTCTGAATTTAGGAGTTGGTTTTTGTTAATGTTAAAAAATAGAACATGAGTTTGAAAAGTTTTGATTTGACTGCAACATTACTAAATGTCTCTTGTCGCTGTTCACAACTTTGACCACTAGATGGGAATGGAGGTCTGCATCTGAGGGATTGAGTAGTATTTGTTTTTCCCAATTTTTCTTTGACTTCTCTGTCCTTTCCGATGATTTGGCGACATTGTTTTGAACAGATTAATGTACTGATATGGTTTAAATTTCTTCATTTAAAAACTACTGTAAATGCAGTTTATTTTCTCTCAAAGGTTAAAGACAGATGTATGTTTTCAAGGACTTTTTCAACCCACCCATTTTATATCTTATTTTTCATCATTCAGAATTGCCACCTTTGTCCATTGTGAAAGATTTGTATCGATTAGAAAAATTGGTTTTTTTTGTTTAGTAATATTCTCCCTGGGCGTGGTCAGAGAGGGAAACAGATGTTTCACATGTGACCTTGATGTGCCTTTCGGACCAGAAAAGCCTGTTATCTTAGTCTTTTTACACCTAAATCCAATGCAGTTGCTTGAATGAATTGGTGCGACTAATCATAATAATTCTTTCAGTTTAAAAAACAGTGATTACTAGTTTACCAGCTAACGCCTTTATGACAAAAGGAGTTTGTTACAATTTTCATAAATCTGTGGTGTTTAATGCCTCGTACCTGAATGTAGCACAGCAATGCTTGCATTCACAGATGTCTGATTGGTGGCTAAAGGGAAAAAAACGGAGTCGTGCTTTTCATTCACACTATTTTTGGCAGTGTTTTGACACTGAATGTGGGCAGTGAACACCTGTTACCAACACTGTGATGGACTTTAAATGTTTCAGGGTTTTTGCTCTCCTACAAGGTGCGTTTGTTATTCAAATAGTAAGGCTAAATTATTGTGGTCCTTTGTGACATAATAATTTAGCCTTACAGCCTATCAGCGCCATCACTTGGAGCACAGCAGCTCTTATTAGTTATAGTAAACATAGGTGCAGTTGGTAAAGGGTGTTTTGGCTTTCCAGTCATTTCCCCTTCTCCTCACAAAGAAGCACAAAGCTGATTGTAAGTGAACTGCTTCCCGGCTGTTTTTGTGAAGGCAGAGGGGACACGGTCATGAACAACAGCCACAACGTTCAGCCCCCAGCCCGACAGGAAGTGCTGTTGGGTTGCTATGCAGCTTTGCTCCCAAACTGCAAGAACTCTGGGTTGCCTGTTAACAAATGATGTGTGGTGTAGGCAGTACGGTAGACTATTTGAACAGCCACTCCAGAAACTCTACAGTAAGAAAAGATTTAGGGTGGGATGAACGAGAGATTGAAACAGAACGATAGTTTGTTCCTGGCAGCAAAGCAGTTGTTAGGTTCATGGCCTCCTCTTTTCTCCTTTGGGTCTTGCTTTATTCATCCTATCTTTCTGTTTCGCCTGAATACTTATTCCTCTCTATGCATCTCTCTCCCTCCTCTCATTTTGCCGCAAAAAATGCCTTGTTTTAGGCTTTTTACCTTTAAAGTTGCAGTTTTAAATTCACATCCGTTCGAAGTCGTTAGTGACAATTTTTCATTGTCGGTTGATGAATTACTCACTAGTGTACAAAAATGCTGTGCAATGACAAAGGAGTTGGCATCTAACCTTTTTAACCGCAAAATGAATTGGTGTATTTAGGAAACATTTGGTGTTACCAGGAGATTGTTGTCACAATGAGGGAGGGATAGATGTGGACAGACATTCTTATATGATTTAAGGCCTCTGGGACTGCTGCCACCAGCACAAATACATTAAAGAAATTAGACTACAGTGATGGAGCCAAAAGATTTAAAAGTATTGTCAATGGGGGATGGTAATGACCATTAATATGAACAAAACTTTAATTTCCAAATCGAATCGTCTGAAAGCAGGGCTAATATACCGTAACATTGGAGGTTATGGTTCAATTCACTTGGCATATTTACAGACTGTAAAAAACAAATTGGCCTGTTGATCAGTATGTGGTTAAAAGTTCCTCCCTTCTATGTCTTATTGTGAAAACAAAAGATAAATCTGTATTATAACAGATTCAACAGATTCAACACGTAATATACATGTCTTTATTTTGGTAGACAGATAAATATGCGAAATTGCATTACCAAATCTGTTCATTAAGACTAGCTTCTTAAAACTTTTCCTCAATTTGGCTCAGCTCTACTAAAATCCTGCTTTTATAAGCATATTTTGACAAAGTCTCCAACCGAATAAATAAACGTCTAAGCAGTGAATGTAGCCATATTTGCATATACGATTATCCACTACAAAGAAAGTTAGAAGCATCAGGATGTCCATCGCATAAAACTGAAAACAAACATTATAGATCTAAAGAGCATATTTAAAAATGATCACAACTTAAATACATGCTCAATGAAAATAAAACTTAAAACATGTAAGAACTGTATATGCCCGTCCATTCATTTTTTTTTTCCTCTTGCTTTTTCCCTTTAACTTCTATCCAGCCATCCATCCATGCATTTTCGTAACCCCTTATTCCGTAATGGGGTCGTTGAGGGGCTGGAGCCTGTCCCAGTGGTCAATGGGCAAGAGGCTGGGTACACCCTGGACAGTCCGCCAGTCCATCACAGGGCCACACAGAGACACACAAAGACAAACAACCACACACACTCACTCCTAAGGACAATTTGGAATGTCCAATCAACCTAACATGCAGGTTTTTGGACTGTGGGAGGAAGCCGGAGAACCCGGAGAGAACCCACGCAGACACAGGGAGAACATGCAATCTCCACACAGAAAGGTCCTGGTTCCCCCTTTAACTTCTATTTATTTTTCCAAAAGACTTTCTAAGCAAATAATTTGGATTTCTTTTTATAATCATTTATAGCCTTTTCACTCCCATTTATACTTTACATAATGATGTTGTTGCACCAGCCAATTCAAGAGCCAATGATTATAAAAACACACACTCTTTAGTCACAGATCTTTGATCTAATCTTAAATATTGGAAAATGTATGCCAAACATGTGATTTTTGGTTTTAACACTTCATGCATAGATTATGTTTGCAGTGCGGTGGTTGAACTGGAGGGCTTCTACACCGCCTTGTGATCCTCGGCTTACAATGATTCTTTTACATTTTGATAGTACTTCCTTTTATTTACTAATATAAGGAAACTATTATTGATTTAAAAGTGGAAAATGGAGCCAAAACATCCAAACACAACTTTAAAAATGAACATTTAATTATTATTGAAAACCCTATGAAACAATAGTCGTGTAGATTTCTGGTGGAAAAAAGGCCCCGACAGATGAGCGTAAGCCTCAACTTTTATATAGATATAACACTTTGTTTGCTTCAGCATCTGTTTCAGTATGAGATTAGATAAGAAATCTCTTTCTCTTTTTTCACTTAATAAATGGATATCCTTTTACTCATCTATTCATGCAGCCCAACTTCACTTTTTACACCTCCTCCATCTCCCTGTTTTCTCTTCCTCCTTTAGTCCTCTTATTTTCTGCTTTTCCCCACTCTCTCTTTGGCAACTGAAGAAGTTAGTTTTTAAAGAAGACGGTGATGAGCAGTAACCTTATCACTCACTTCCTCACTTTCTTTTCCCTCTCCACCTTCATCTGTGCAGGGATGCTGTCATCTATTTGTTTACACCACAGCTCCACCCCTTATCCCACTGCCGTACGTTGGCCATTTTCCCACTTCGTCTCCTCCTCTTCCTCATCCCCTCCTGCAACCACACTAAAGCCAGTGTTTCAGCCTGCCTTCCTGTTGCCAACAAAGCATCTCATCTCTTTGTTGGAGTCTCTCTTTGGCGAGGGAGGCTGGCCTCCAAGTTAATTGTGCATTCGTTAGAGTTTGCCTGCCCGCAACTTAACAACTTAACTTCTCATCTGTAAAATAAGTTGTGTGTGTGTGTGTGAGAGAGAGCGAGAAAAAGATGGAGGCAGTGTACAGATTTAGGAAAAACAATTCGGTCCATCCTTTGTGTCTTGTAGCTTTTTATCTCTACAGCATAACCATTATTGTGATATTTCATAATGAAATTATTCAGGAATTAATTCTGTGGGAAAGAAGTAGAATTCCAAATTTTACACTTTAGATGCTCTTGGCACCACAAAACTCCAAGCATTTTGTTTGGTTTGGGTGCAGAGTCTCTGTTAAATGTGCAATCTCTTTTCAAAACCAGCACCACTTGTACTGTCAAGGGTGTGGTGATCAGAGCCAGCTTTAAGGGTTAAAGTACCTCTGCTGTTGTGTGTTCATGTTTTTTTGTTTTGTTATCCCATCATGAGGAAAAGGGAGTTCATTTTAAAGCTATGTCTGATTCTCTCTCTGCCTTGTCAAAAGTTATTTCAAATTAAGTCAATTTGAGTTACGTATGTATCACTTGAAAAGAAATATTTGAGACATAGGAGGACTATTTTCTTTAAAAATAATTATTTCTATAGCTGATAAATGGGTACAAATTTTAAGTAAAGTAAAATTCTGAGACCATGACTGACTCAGGGCCCCCTGTCATCAAACAACTTCCCTTTGTTTGTTTGATGACAGGGAGCAGAGCCTGTGATTAGGGGACATTTTGTGAAGGACAATCTCTTAAAGAAGAGGTCACTGGAGCAGCCGTTGAGTTCAGGAGGTGGAGTCTTGCTGCTTTTTTTGTTTGTTTTTTCTTGTCATTCTTTTTCTGTGAAGTCCTAGACAAAACTGAAGATCCATAAAGCTGACAAAATGAGTCTTCAGTGACCTAATCCCTTAACGAGCTCAACTGTAAAGTTAGTGTGCGCTTTCTTTCTTTACCTATTGGTAAAGACAGGTTAGCAGCAGTAAAGGACGTGAAAGGTGAGGTATTTAGAGCGGTAACCTGATCTGTGCAGACGCTAGGGACATAAGCAAGTGCTACCACTTCTCACGCTTGTGTACTTCTTTATTCACTGTAAAATGCTTCCAACTGTCATTGTAATGGAAGCTAATTGTGTACCCTAAAACAGAAGGGAACATTAGTGGATTCAAACGTTGAGTCTGAATTTTATCCTCAAATTGACTTGAATTGGAAGAACATTTTTTTATTAGTATGATCCCTACGTTATGTTGGATGAGATTATCAGTCATACAGGTCATGATAGTAAAAGTTAGTGGAGTTCTTGTTTTATACCTTCTCAACTGAGCTAAAACTTTTCTGGTCCAGCTGCCTTATTTGAGCTCTCAGGACCTCTACATTCCTAATGTACAAAGACAGGGATAATGTGCAAGTGTAAAAATGGATTGAATTACAAAGGATATTCAGAGGCACGGCTTATCCAACATAAAATCAAATAAAATAAGAGGAGCCCAATCAAAGCAGGTAAGTATGAATAGGAAGGCTACTAAAAAAATAAAAAAAAAGGGGCTATCATTTAACAGAGGGCATCTGTTGTGCAGAAATTAGATACTGGACTTGCAGGAAATTAAACTCATGGGAAGCAAATTCAATGTGAATAAAAGTGGTCCCAAATGGACTGTTCTGTTAAATCGAACACCCATAAGAAATTACACAAACGCTATTACAAGACAAGAGCACTCCAAATGCTGTTGTGTTCATCGAGTTGGAAAGAATTCCAAGGTATTGCAAGTTGTTTTTATTCTGTAATGTTTTTTGTGTTGTTGTGGATTTTTAAGAACTGTAAATAAGTTCTTTAAAAATCCATTAAAAGACAGAACAAGGAAAGAGAATAATGTGAACATGATGGCTGTAAGAACATGAGTTATTTTATCAGCTTTTTAAAATCTTTTCAAGAGCCAAAGCTCATCTTATTTTTTTCCATTGCTATTCTGTTCCTCTTGAGCTTCCCAAGAGCGTATGTGTCACTATTCTGTCATGGATGTTAGTTTCTTGCTCTCATACACGCTTGGAGAGAGGCAAAGGTGTCTCAACAGGCTTGAGGATACTTGGCAACCAGTAAGTTGGTGTAAATTTGAACCGGGTTGGGATTATTGATGCTGCCTGAGTCATTTCTATACATGTAAATATTATGTAGGTGTCACATAATGGGAACTGAGAGCAGGGGACTATATAAAATGGAGAACCTGATCCATAAGTGATCCGACGAACCCAAATCATTGATCGATAATGTAAATCCACCTTAGAAACTGCAGTTACGAGAGTCCACTGGTGAAACCAGTAGCACACATGTTGACTTGTGTTTGACATAAAGTGAAAATCGCCCATGATTAAGATTCCATCAGTACTGAAAGTAATTGTATAGAAAAACTAAAGCGTTATTCCTGAACATTTCAGAGGGAAAATCCATAAATCACTCTGGGGTAACATGTCTAACTCTCTGCTGCACAATCAGTTCATTTTGTGTCATTAGTGTGAGAATGACGTTGTCCCAGGAGCCCCCACTGACTTAAGCCAAAGTAAGTGTCAGCGAATCAACAACCAAACAATTACCTGGTATGGTTGATATATTACTTGTGTTGAGCCCAAAAACATGGACAAAACCACACTACTGTTTTTGTGACATGGAAAAAAAAAACAGGAAGTTACAACTGCAATAAGATAACTGAAATTCCATCAGTTCACTCTGGATACAGAAACTGTTTTTATACATGTTTGTGGCTTGTTTCTGCATTAGGTTATTGAAGTCCATCTATTTATCAGAATTTTCTTTGTAAGTGATTTTCATTAGGACTCAGAGGGAATGGTACATTCCCACTTCTTTTTGCAGACCAGATCTAATCACATCCTTCATGTGGAAACACCCAAGTTGAAGTTTAACTGATGTGAACGGAAATGCTTTCATTGATAATCTGTCAGAGGTGTAAATGAAGCAGTTTGGTGTTTTGGTTTGAGAAAGTAATTTCCAAAAAGTAAAATGAAAGAAAAATAAAGCCACTAATCTGGAAATGATGCCATCTGTATTTCTGTTCTGTACTACTCAGCTTTTGCAGGCAAGCTGACAAAATTGTCTCTGGCAGGTATCACACAACCGTTACTGTTAGAGAACATAATTATTTTGTAAAACAAGTAAATCCATGCCTCCCTTTTGCTGCAGCTTCAGGTATTCAGCTCCGCATCAGCGTACCTGAATCAAGGTGGGGACTCCGTGCGCATGCGCACCTCCTCCTCCGGTCATCAGGAGGATATTATAAGGGCACGCAGAGCAGCGGAGCGCGGTTCAGTCTTCTGTGTCTGAACCGGACCGAGGCGCGAAGAGGAAACGCATTCACGAGGCGGAGGAGATGGATGACAAAGAGAAAAGGCGGAAGGATGACAACTCTGTCAAGAGCGACAAAGTCACTCTGAAGAAAGAAATTGGACTCCTGAGCGCTTGCGCCATTATCATCGGTGAGTGTGACGGCTTTTGTGTTCTTCTGTGACAGGGACTGTGGCAGGTTTGGCACGTGAAGTGGGCAACACGGGAAAAAGTTCTCGCGGCCAACGTGTCCGAGCGGCTGACTGCAGCTGCACGGTGTGTGAACGGCGTTTGCTTTTCGGTTAAAAGCCTACGCGCTCGTAGCGGGACGCAGACCCCCTCTTAAAGTCAGAATTTACAGTAAGCAGGGCTAAAATGACGGAAACGCGACATGCTTTACAGAAATAATGTGTTTTCATATCTTTTTTCAAAACGGCCACAAAAAAGGGGGGAGAAAAAAGGAAAAGAGAGGAAGAGGAGGAGTACTTGGTTGCTTTTACGCACAGAAAATCTGAGAGGTGTTTATAGCCCCGAACGCGGGGTTTTGGGCTGTGTGGAAACTGTTGCATCAGTCGTGATGATCTGAGTATGGACACGCTTACGTGGCTGGGTCTAAAACTTGAGAGGTGCTCGGACAAAGCGCAGCCTCCACGTGGGACAGCTGAGCACAGACAGTTTGTCAGTGGGGTCCGGGGCTTACTGTCAAGTTCAGCGCTTTGACGCACATGTTTCTCGTTACTACACTAAGTACCCGCACTAAAAATGCTCGGCATTGCAGCAACGGAAACGTTTTTTTTTTTTTTTTAAATGAGGAAGTTGGGTTTTTTTTCAACGGTGTCCTATAATCCTTGAAGGGTTTTTATAACATGCAGTCAAATTAATGGTATCAGTTGATGTAGTGAACTAAACATGTTGACAGTAATATGATAGCTGGTGAGTGCAAAGGGTCTCTTAAAGGTGAGGGCAGGTGGAGGACACCAGGATGTAGCTGAGACTGAATGAGATTAAGCGTTTCTAAAATGTATTTTTATTTCTTTAGATTGTATTAAATTGAATTAGATGCTTCAACACATGTCCCCCTATTATTTCACTGCTTGTTACTCACAATTGTGAATTAAGGCTACATGAAAGGAAGATAAGTTCAATATTTGCATTAATTGAAGTGTGGATATTGGGAGACTTGTAAAGCAACATGAAAACTGTTTGCTCTCTGGCTTCTGTTGTCCGTTTTTTAAACTAAGGCTGAGTTTTTTGTGCTTCCATACCCTGCAACTGAACGTCTTTGGCCAGATAAACTCGATTAAGTTCTTTTGGAGAGCAGCAGGTTCACACTTGTTTGCCCGAATCACAAAGTGGGTTTGAATTACATTGAGAGCTAACAGTTTATATTGAGTCATTAACGCTCTATGTTTGGTCTGACGTTAGTCTTATTGTTCAAACTGAATCCTGAACTTGCAAGTTCTGATGAGTCAAGATGGGCAGAGTTATCACTCAGAAGCAACCTGACTCATACTGCTGCCCACCAGCTACAGCCTACTCATGTATCCACTGCCTGTGCGTGTCTCATGCTTCACTGCGTGTCACTGCAACTCGCATTACTGCTGCTCACATTTAGTGCTTGACAGGAAAAATGAGCAAATTAAACTGATGTAATATTGGCAAGATTTTAAAAGAAATCTGCATTGCAGCGTTCTGATAATTGCTGTGAACTTTTTCAATTTAAGGTTGTTTTTAGATGGCAAAACGCCTACAAGTATGTCAGTGATGCAGCGAGTGCTCCTAAATTCATCCCTCCCACAAAAACCCTTACTATCCCTTTAATGTGTGTTAATATGAGAACAAGTTTAGATCCGTGAAGATAAAAGGCGATGCGCCTTCAACCAAAGACTGTTTTGACACAAACAATTATCCAAAGTGATTTTGGCACCGCGCTGGATAGCAACTGCGTGTAAATTGGTGATTAATCTGAGCGGCACCTCAGAAAAATTTCACGGGTGCCATGCAAGAAAACGGAGAGGGTTGGTGGAGCTCTGATTCCTGCCTGGGACCGCAGTGCCCAACTTAATGACATAACAAACACAACACAGGCGTTATGCAACAGCGCCACATCTCATTGCAGCCTCCACAATCAAAGCAGACAGTGATAAACGCACTGCGTGGACCTCCTCTGCCTCAGCCCACATCTTGGGAGAGCACTCAAGTCGATGGTGTGCTTCTCTGGGTTCGGCTACAGCTTGAGAGCCTCATTTTTGATGTGAGGATTCCTTCTGAGGGCCCCCCCCAAGAAAGGAAGAGAATATTGAGGACAGTGCAAAACATGTTTTGCTTAGACAGCTGCTGCTTAGTTATTTTAAGTGTAGTTTTCTTTTCCTTTTGGAGAGAGTTCAGACACTAATGCCAGGCTGAATCTGAACTTGTGTATGGCCTAAGATAGTTGAGCCATCAGGGAACTTCTGTCTGTCCTTTTTTATTTATTTATTTTATGTCGGCTATGCCAGAAACTGTAATGAACCACCATGCCAAAGGACCACACGAGATGTCCTGGATATTTATCTGAGTGGGATTATAGCTCTATAAAGCGAGATGTTGTTGCTAACATGGTTGACATTGGCTGTATTTTCAATATAAATGACATGAGGTCATATAAAGCTACATCTGCTGATAAGAGGTAATGTAATGGGTCTCTTTGCCCTGTTATGGTCATAAGAGAGTTAATTAGAGGTTTGCCCAGGCTTATTGTTTTCCACGTCTAAGCACACAAGTTTGATCAGCAGTCGGCAGTGGCCAGATAATGTTTTACCAGCCTATATTGATATGTGTGATATGACGCTACCGCTCAGAATCTTTTATCCTTACCTTTGTAAGCACGTGTTTTGGTTTGTTTTAAATTGACTTGTAGACCTCAGTGTTTTTAAATGGTCTTTGAGACAACTGAAGAAATATCTTCTCTCCAATATTTACTGTAAGTGTGACCATTTTTGTTTTCTTCTGCAAAGGGAACATCATCGGCTCAGGGATATTTATCTCGCCTAAAGGAGTGCTGGAGCATGCAGGCTCGGTGGGGCTGTCGCTCATCGTCTGGGTCTGTGGAGGGGGAATCTGTGCCCTTGGGTCCTTGTGTTATGCCGAACTGGGCGTCACAATCCCAAAGTCTGGAGGAGACTACTCGTATGTGACAGAAATCTTCGGAGGGCTTGTGGGGTAAGTACAGTTGTTGTTTTCGAATTGGCCTACTTTTCTTTTTTTTTTTTTAAGTGCTTTGTATTGGCCACAGTAGCACTTTGGCACGCTGTGCAGTGTTGTAATCAGCTTATTGTAATTTACCTCAAACGGTCTGTGGTTGGTTTGCTGGGGGTACTTCCTGGAAGCAGTCGCTACTGTAGACCGTGTCTGACACAAATGCTAAACGAATAACTGGCATTCAAAATGAGGAAAATGAAGACACTCACTTCGAGGAGCAAAAGTTATCGGCTAGCAAAAAAAATTGACCAATGAATTGAATAAATAGTTGTAAACGATGGTGCCCCCCCCCATTGTTGTGCCTTACAGCCTGAAATTAAAATGGAGTCCATTCTCAGCTATAAAATATTTGTTGTTCATCACCTTTATTCCATTTATAGAGAGATTAATCTCTCAGTTAGTAGAATTTTCAATCTGTTATTGCATGATGTGCTGATGGGTTGTGTTTTTCACTATGTTCTTAAAGGCTATATGGCTAGTCCTGTGCACATTTACAGCAATTTTGATCATGTTGGATAAAGTTCTGATAGAAATGACTGCAACCGAAAGCTCTGTGGTGTAAATACACACCTGCAGCCAACAGGCATCAGTTGAATACTGCACATGCTTCACACACACAGCCTCTGAGAATTTTGCTCATTCTTCAGTTCAGAGCCACGTCAGCTTACTGTAATTTCAAACCAGAGTACAGCAATCTTAGTAATACTCTTCCAAGACTTCCAACCGCAATAGGGTTTCCTCAAGAACATGCCTGTAATTAGCACAGTGCTCCTAAAGGATTCTAAACAAGCCCCGTTCATGGCAAATGTCACCCCTACCTGATGAGGCCTCCACCATGCTTTATTAAGACAAAAGGTTTATATGAACAACTTGCTAATTCCAGATTTTTTGGGAAGTCACAGATGCCTTTTGTTGAACTCTAAATGTTATTTTTATTTTGTCATTATTATTATATTATTATTTTTCTGTTTACAAAACTTTTTTTTTCTCACAAACATGGTGTGAGGTGCTTAAAAGTTCCATGTTGTATAAAAAAAGGTATGATGATGATAATGTTTGTGTATAATACAGCAGAAGACTGAGCAAAGGTGTCGTCATTGACATATCTTTCTCCTTTTGTCACAGCCAATCACGTCTGAGTTGAAATTACTGAAAATCATCTCATCTCTTGCCCTCCGAGCATTTCACAACACTAAAAACGTGTTTTGTTTTTCATAATTTACTCACACCATCTGACAAAAATAACCTGTTAAGTAAGTTAAAAATGACATGTGAATTTGGCTGTCTGTGGGAAAATAACAGGTGGCAAAATCTCCTGAAATTATTTCTCTCCATCTGCAGCATATTACCTGTTTTGTGGTTGTGGCATTTAGGTGGATGAGGAAGAGCTTACTGTTGGGGGGGGGGAGAAAAGGGTTTGTGGAAACCGCTTCTTGTGAATCTGATTTTAAACTGTGTTTTTGTCTTCATTCTTCAGCTTCCTGTTATTATGGAGTGCTGTCCTCATCATGTATCCAACCACACTGGCTGTCATTGCCCTCACCTTCTCCAATTACGTCTTGCAGCCAGCCTTTCAGAGCTGCCTGCCTCCGTTCATCGCCACCAGACTTCTGGCTACCATCTGTGTCTGTGAGTCACAACAAGCCTAAATCCTTCTGGAACTTTGTTTTGCGCGGATTAGGTTTGTTCAGGGATCTTTTTATGTGGTCTGTTTTGCTATGTTAACATAGCCATTCATACACATTCAGAATTGATCTGTTACTGTTGACTGTAGTTTGATTGTTACCTTGATGATTAATTTGTTTTTTTTTTTTCAGTCAGTGTAATTATTTACTAATGTGATCCGCATGGTGTGATCGTGATCGATAACTAGACTTGAACTTGAAGATAGATATGTCCAACTATAGCTTCCTCTGGCCTGTGTCAAATATGACACACCTCTGCAGGATTCCTTCCCTGTTTGGTTCCTAGAGGTTCAATAATCCACAATAGAGACAATGGAAAGAAAAAAGAAATGGCCCCCTCCATTGAGCACTAAGGCTCCCTTCTTGATACTTTGCCACTGGTCTTACAATCTTTGGCCGGCTTTACACCAGAGGTGACATGTGACAAGTTATGATAGCAGGTACTTTACAATAGGGCCTACTGAATCTCTCTGACTCTACTTGGTTTTTCGTTTCTTTTTGCATTTCCATCATGGGCTGCAGCCTCCTTTCAGATAACGTGGTGGGCACATACTCGGCCAGGGTTCCAGGCAGGCTGAGCAGGGCCAACAGCAGCCTGCTGGCCACCGATGATGAGAAATACTGAGAGACTCGGACTAAGAAATAAATGGAGGATTCCAGTTACTGTCCTCTGTATCTGAATGGTTCTGTAAGCTTCAATGTGTTACCAAAATATTTTCCAGCAAATTATGTCATTCCTGATATGTTTTACATACTCTAAGTTGTAAGAAAGATCTTTGAATTCAGAAATTTCCACAAATCTAGTGTTGGGTCAGTCATTTAAAAACTGCTTTGCTCCGCATTTCCAGACTAATAGATAGATGCTGACCAGGTTTTTCAGGT